AACTTTATTTACCTTTTGCGGAATTTTTAGGGTAATTTTTTCACTTTTCCCTACGAGACAAGGGTTACACATGAATTCGTAGTGGTTTGTCACCTGCGTCACGGGCCCCTCCAGGGCCCGGGCCCCGGTACCAAGGACCCAGTATCCCCCCCTTGTGGCGGGCCTGCACACGGCCTATACAATTAACCGTGGTTTCAATTCGAATCAAATGTTTACAGATAATTTCGAACATGAATAAAACGGTTGTTTAGTACGGATGTAAATCAAAAGCAGTTGTAAAAATGAGATTGGCTCGGACCACTAAAGAAATTATTAATTTTTTCCCCGTCCGTATTCAGTGATGTGTAATGCTGAATAGATTCAGCGTTTAAACATTGCAATATTTTCTCAGTTAATTTGACCCACGATGTATGCAAAAAAACAGTTGTATTTATGTTTAGAATTTGTAGGATAAAATTTAGGGCGCCATCAGCCGGTAAAGTACCTCCAACGCGAACGTCATGAAATGACAACGCCTGAATGCAACTATTCGAACTCGACGGCTGTCTGCGTTGCATATACAATAAATTGAAGGCGCGTCAATTTTCCTCACGTTCGCAGCACCAACAACCCAAGGGATTAGTGTCAAACCACTGGAGTGAAAACGAAGATCATACTTTACGTGTTACTTTTATGATTTACCATTACAGAGTAAGATTTGCGTGTCAAAAACATTTTTGGGGAATGTTTATAGACACCGAAATTATTTTGCCAAGAATATGGCGAGCACATTTTTATGTGAAGCACACTCGCTAATACGTTGCTCTGAGACTGGCGGATCCAGCAAATTGGCAATATTGTTTTTCTCCATTTAAACCCATGGAAATATATTGATTCTCTCGATTGTTTAACATAGGTTTAAATGGAGGGACTCCGGTGTTGCTAAATTGCTGGACCCGCCTCTGTGCAGTAATCATAAAGGAGCGACGAGCTTCTCATATTTCTCCAGTGACATTCATTGAGCGAATTTTATTTAGAGGTTCGTTACTATACTGTTGTGCCCGAACCTCCGAGCTGCCATTTCATTTAGGTTCGGAACTTCCGTTTCGGTGACTAACGAATCGCAACGCAGCGCTGGTGCGTGATTTTGGTAGATTCCGGTACCATCTCGGTACGATCTCGCGAGGTGGTTCTAAAAAAGGTTCGACCTTTCGAAAACCAACAGATCTGGTTGGTCGAATCTGGTAACAATACGGTGTCCACTGGTGTTGATGATTGATGAGACAAATTGGGACAGAACTTTCTAGGTTCGGAACTTTAAATAAAAATCGACGAAATTGCCTTACTTTAAGGGTTTTTTGCACTTCAGCGCGCTCTAGCGGCCGAAAAATGACCCTAATCTAAAAATTTCACATTAAAATTTGTTCAAAATTTGATTATCTAAAACTTCATTTCTCTTGACTTTTTCGATTTAAGGTCAGTTAAGGAAGTTAAAGCCGGAAAAGCGCAAGAAAACGTGATTCTCGGCCCATTTCGAACTTTCGCGGGCTCTGGGGGCTTAAATTTAAGTCCTAGTGAAAACTTGTTAGTTTCAATTTTGTCGGCAATTTACTTGGCTACATTTTTGCTTACAACTAATTTTACGTTCCGACGAAAATTTAGCTATTTATTCCCGGAAAAGCGCGTACAAACGTGATTTTCGGCAGTTTTCCGGCTTTTCCGGAAAACGCATAAGGCGGATTTGGCGGGCAGCATCAAATTATACAAGCGACCAAAAATACATAAGAATCAGCTTTAACCTCTTCTGACCTCTCTCTTACATTCATAAACTCCTATTGATACTGGACTAGAGAGAGAGACAAACCGGGACAGAACTTCCGATGGAGGTTCGGGACTTTAAATAAAATTCGCTTAATTACGTCGTTCCCTGCTTACAGCGAGCTTAATGAGGGAAAAAATTGAAAGTGACAAAGAGGTGACGCGTGCTATTAAAAATGCTAGGGGTCGGCGAACAAGTTTGACGATTACGGGACCCAGCTGGACACGAATGGCGTCAGGCCAAAATGCGCCCGTTGCCTCTGAATCTTTTATCGAATGTGTAAAGTGTTTATTCTACGGGTCGGGCACAACATAAAGATTTGAAATTTCACATCTGGATGGCCCTTGGCGTTTGTTTTATTTACGTCACTGAGCGCGCGCCGACTCCTCAAGAAGAAGAAGAAGAATAAGAAGGAAAAGGGGGAGGGAGAGAGGGGGAGTGACTTCCTCGTCTCTGATCGGGTGCTAAAATAGATCACCGCGATGATTACTTACTTAACATGTTTACACCCCCTCCCGTCATTATGGGGATTGGTGAGGGGAGGATCGGAGGTGACAGCCCTAACGAGGGAAATTAGTGAACGACGATTACGCGTTTCACAGTTCGTTTGCATTTCTATTTCATCCACTCCGCCATCCTCAGCAAAAACGTCGTATGAACCACTAGGCGTTGCGAATTTCCTTCGATGAGATAGGAATTTATTGGAAAAGTTGTAAATATCTCTCTTCCAATTCGTTAGACAATTTGTTGGTAATTCATTCTAAAACATCTGAAAATTTCTAGGGAAAATGTGCACAGTGGCGTAACTACCATACCTGCCGCTACCGCTGAGCGGGGGGGGGGGNGGGGGGGGGGGGGGCGGAACGATGCGAGGGGCGCAAAATTTTGGGATAAGAAAACGGGAAAAATAAGGAGAAAAAGAAAAGGAAAGAAGGCAGAGCTGAAGAGAGAGAGGCAGAGAAGATGAAGAAAGAGGAAAGCAAGGAGAGCAAATACAACAAGAAAAAAATTTTGATCATGCGAACATCTCATGTAAGTTTTACAGTTTTTCATACTTTTTTGGGACATGAATTTCCTCTTCACTTTTCTTTCTATTCTCATAGTGATACCTTGATTTTCTCCCATTTATGCAGATCTGAATGACTAGACGGGCAGGGGGAGGGGGGAGGGTGCGCCGCTCAAAACTTCTGATATGAAAGGGCGCAGTCTCAGATCGGCGGGGGCGCGCAAAGATTTCTAGTTACGCCACTGAATGTGCATGCGTTTCTTATGCACTAAATGCTTAATCATGGGTGTGGCAGCATTCGGATGTTCATACTACGTTTTTCTTCAGAGCCTCATTTATGGTTTCCTTCAGGCTCAAGGCTCGCAGCCCTGAGATTCAGTTACAGCTGCTCGCAATGCGAGCTGAAATATTTGAACATTCCAAAGAAAAATTGCATGACTTTCGTCCAAAATAATTTTTTCTTGAGGGAAATTTGGCAACATTCGAATGTGCATACGGAGGTTTTCCATTGCATGGCAGTACTAACACCAGTGTGGACTGATCCGTAGGGTTTGAAGGAGGGGCGAAGTCGGCGGTTTCATTGAAATTCTGAAAGATGTTAATTTTTTGCCACCGGCTGCTAATTGCGGGCCATTAGAGTTAAACATTTTTTCTGTTCCGCTCTTTTCGGCAAAAAAAGACAAAGATAGCGTTGAGTAATATTTTATAGGCGAAGGTTTGGCAGGTAGGGTTGCATGAGTGATTTTAGCTGATATGATTTCATCTGAGTTCATATTGGACGTATTTCTATCAAACGGAACTATGTGCATTAAGCCATGAGCCCTGAGACCCATAAGAATACACGTATACCAGGGCTCACGTCATAATGCACATAGTTCCGTTTGATAGAAATACGTCCTATTAAGGTTTGATCCCTTGTGAAACCGTCTTGATAAATCAGTAGACTCAACGAGCCCTGCCATGACGTTTTGGGTAATTGAATACCTATTGGCAAAGTGTGCTCGATATACGCAGTTTCGCCGGGATGGCATACAGGATAGGAGAGGGCAGGAGAAAGGGAATCCCTTCCCCTTACATTTCAAATCTGACTTTTTTGGGGGGTTATTTTGGTTAATTTTGATTGATTGTGGGGCATTATTAGAGATTGTTTGAAGTCTGACCGCCTACCATTTTGCCGTCTCTCAGAAACGTATCGTCCCCTAACATTATCATAGAGTGATGTATGTGTTTATTTAAAATACAAAAAATTATGTGAAAGTGTGCGCTGTCGTGCTAAAGAAGAACGCCTTTGTACATTCAAGAGTTGCCCAAGTCCCCCGGATAAAACAAGAGTTTTTAAAAAAGTTCCGCATATTTTTCTTTGAGATTATCTGATATGTTGGATCAAATTGCAAACAAAATTGCTTGAAAAATTTGTGCGAAAACATTCCCAAAATCGTTTTTTATTACAGGAAATATGGCAACGTCTGAAGGCTCATACGGCGTTTTCCTTGGCACGGCAATGCGAGAGTTACGTTACGGACAATACTATTTCGCCTTGAATTTACTGGATAGGCCACAACACATTCTCCTTCCAACGACATGTCATCGCACTGAACCATGGATCATTTGTTCCGTTTACGCGATGCGCATTCTTGCGGGCTAGGCGAAACCGTTGTCACCAGTCGAAACCGCCTTCACTTTCGTGTGATACTTCATCGCCCACACCGGAGTTAAAATATTTGTATCAAAACTCCTTGTTCATCGTGATACTAACTCGTAGGATCTTAACCATCGCTTATGGAAAATTCACCGAGTGTCATATCAGGATTTGCGTTCTCCGCAGATGGATTATAAAATGCAGTTGTAAAAACCCTCCCCCGTAACGTACCCGTGACGTGGGCTAATCCCCCAAGAGCGTTACGTATTTCATGCACGGCCCCTAGAACTTAGATCACAAATCCCCATGGCATGCTTGAGCCCCATGTACCAACGCGGTGAGAAATTGTAACGGACATTTTGTGTTAGTTGTTATTTAATTAACGTAAATGTGATTTAATTATTTTAACTCCCGAATTCCTCGTTTGTAATTTTTCTCTGAATCCGAAATTTTGTTTTTAAAAAATCGCAAACTTTGCCGCCATACCCCCCCCCCCCNCCGTTCCGGCCTTGCTCGATTTTATACATAGGTTGAAGCCATATTCGATGAAAACTCACCAAATTCAAGGGATGGACAGGCTGCGAGGGTTTGTCAGGCGGAGAATAGTCCTCGTCATCCGGGAGACAGAGGACGGATCTGAGGTGGGCGATGTAGCTGGTGGCCAGGCGGAGGGTGTCCAGCTTGGAGAGCTTCGTGTCGGCCGGGACCCACGGGAGGGTGGTTTTGAGGCGGCAGAAGGCCTTGCTCAGGACGCGCATTCGGGCCCGCTCGCGGGCGTTCGCCGCGTTCCGCTGCACCGGCTTCTCCACCCCCGCATCCCCGCCGCCCGAGGCCTCGTCATCCTCGAAAATGTCCTCGTCTAACGCCCGGCACCGCCAGGATTTCTTCCGTGGCATTCAATCTCGTCTCCTGGAACAGTGGAAAAACAAGGATGAAAAAACGGGGAACAAGGCTAAAAATACACAATTTATGAACCCGAGACGTTTCGACTCAAAACTGAGTCATTTTCAGTCGGAAACAATAAAATATAAAAGAAAAAACGATAAAAACCTGAGCCCTACATGGTGGCGGCCGGGATCTGAGAGAAAGAGAAAATTGATAACAAACAAGGCACATAGATGCCAGCACCGATGACCGAAAATGATCCTTCTGGAACATAGAATAGCATTTAATGCTTTACAGTAACGGAAGTAAGAGGAAAAGTATCTATACCGGCTTTCAGTATAATACAGGGTGTCCCAGGATTAAGTACGAATATTGAAGACGTCGAATCTTTGGGTCAAAAGAGGACGTTTTGTACGTGGTATACCTAACTTTTTTTTCCAAAAACGCTTCCTCTGGGGCTCGCTACGACTCTCCGAAGTTGGAGGAAAAAAATCGTCTTTTTAACACCGTGACAATGTTTATCAACCTGTTGGTAATCACTGGAAAAAAAACACGTTGGATCTAGAGTCCAGACTCTTGAAACCATTGACAAGAAAAAATACTCTTGATTCAATCAGATTTTTGCTTGGATCAAAAGGAAATCCGCTCAAATTGAGAGGCTTGGTTCTTGATTTCAGCAAAAATTCGATTGAATCAAGAGTACCGTCAGTTGGGGTAACTTGGGACAGTTTTGAACTTTGAACTAAAATTTCTCCATTAAAACAAAACAAATAATAAATTGTGAAGGCTCTCATTTGTTGGTCTTAGTTAGTACTCTAAACCTACGCCATCTTTTTTTTTTTACTTTTTTTTTTATTTTTTTTTTTTTTAAAAAAAGTTGGTGTCCCAAGTTACCTGAATAGTTGGGGTAACTTGGGACACTAATGTATTTTCAGTGTTTGGCTCATGTTTAATAGTTATCATGTAACTTGGGACAAAAATTTAAGTTTTAAAAAATATATAAAGCCATTTGGCATGAAAAAAGTTACAAAAAGAGAGAAAACTCAAGAAATAATGTGCATTTTAATAAAAACATTTATAAAAATAAAAAAATAAACATAAACAAAACGAGCATTAAGTAGGCACTGAAGAAAATTGTTTTCTAGGTAACGTTGGTCAAGGACCTTACAAGTTACAACAATGGAAAAAACTTATAACTAGGAAATGGAACAAAAAAAAAAAAAAAAAAAAAAAAAAAAAAAATCCAAAAAAATTTCAATTTTTTTTTTCAATGGAAAAATCCTGGTAACCATCCAACTCAGGAAGAGTCTCATAACCGTGTTTAATTCTTATGTAAGTAGGTACATATTTGAGTAGCAGGGGAGAAATCATAGAAAACCCAAAACAAATTACCCAAATTTAGCTCTGCAACGACCAATTTCTATCCATTTCACTTGTTATCACTTGAATAAACGATAAATGATCTAACTAATAAAAGGGAAATACATTGATCATACACTGATCCATCACGCTCGCCTCCCCGCTCCCACCGGTCGGAATCGGTGCGAACTTAGCCGTTCGACGGGTACTGTCCCCGAGGGGTGCAATAAGCTTTCTTTTCGCGATCCGCCCGTCCGTTCGCGAGTAACCGCGGTCGGAAGTCGCGGATATTCCCGTAAGCCCGTGTGTGTTGGAAAGAGAGACGTAGCAGTGCGGGTATATTTCCTGACGCGGCCGTTGCCGGGTGGCCGTCGGATACCTTTAGCTGCGCGCGTAATTGGCCCTTGATTTCCGCTGTTCTATGCTATGAACGGCAACACTGCGGGCCTTTCTATGTTTCATCCGATTATCAGCTGATGAAAGTTTTTGAGCTTTCTTATGTTTCCATAGTTATTCTTCTACGCTTACTGCTCGTATATTTATTCGCCTTCTCCCCTCCCCACGAACGTTTTTTTTTTTTTTTTTTTTTTTTTAAACTGAGCAGCTGATGAAAATAACATCTTTTTGAATGTTTTGGGTCAGTTATTTTCCATTATCTGAACTTTAGTTGTTGCTTTCATAGTGGGTTTCTTGTGTAATCATGGATTTTTTAACTATTAATTCCAGTGGAACTCAATTTAACTGTAGTTGTCGTTTTAATAGTGGTTTTCTAGTGTAATCATGGATTTCCTAACTATTTCTGAACTTTAGTTGTTGCTTTCATAGTGGGTTTGTTGTGTAATCATGGATTTTTTAACTATTAATTCCAGTGGGACTCAAATTAACTGTAGTTGTCGTTTTAATAGTGGTTTTCTCAATAAATTTTGCCAACATGCTTTTCAATTCATTCTACAACATTTCATTCCGACGTGGTAATAAAGACTTATAATGCCCCTAATACATTATAATTAATTACAATAGTAACGCCGCATTATAATGTGGTATTATACATCGAAACGATTCATGTTCTACTAATTATTGATTATTGTGAGATGAATTCTGTTTTCTCTGATTGTATGTTTCATACGTGCGAAGCACGTACACTGAAAAAAAGTTCTGTTGTAACAAACCAGAATTTCTGGTTGTATTTCGCAACCAGATTTTCCGGATGATTCAACCAGAATTACAGTTGACTCAACCAGACGTCTGGTTGACTCCACCAAATTCTAGTTGAGTCAAATGTAATTCTGGTTAAATCAACCGGAAAATCTGGTTGCGAAATACAACCAGAAATTCTGGTTTGTGACAACAGAACTTTTTTTCAGTGTACGGGTCACTAGAAACGTGGGTCGTACGGGTGGCTGATAAAATTGATCTTCGAATAACTTTTGATGAGCTAAGGAAATGGGTCCATCTGCATCTCATGGACAATACATAGTTGCCGTAATTAAGGTGCCGTGATTTAAGTCATGAATTCTTCATCTAATTCTTGGTTCATCTCCAAAATGTCTGCTAAAGCTTTCATGCGCTTCTGCGTGTATGCATGAATGAGCATATTGGGTATCCAACAAGCGGACACTTTTTTAAAATTCAGATGATTCTTGACAATATCGAACAGAAGTGCAAGAGCTGCGATACAACCATTACATCTAGCTCATCAAAAGTTATTCGAAGATCATTCAAAAACCTCTTTGACAAGTTACAAAAACTTTTCGTTAACAATAGTGTCACACGGTACTAGGGATGGTTACTTTTTAACGAACCTTATATTTCCCTGACTCAGTCCTAAATTATAGAAGTATGCATTAATTTTCCAGCGATCCAAATGAAATCAGTGAATTAAAAGTTATACGCATATATTATGAGATATTCCGATTTGTTTCCTGCAATATCGCCGCGCGAAGCGCGGGTTGACTGCTAGTACTATATATGGCACTTAGAGGTTATATTGTTGAAGGAGTAAAGCTTCAAAAGTACAATAAACAGACATTCATGGGCGTCCCATGTTCGATGGGAAATTGTCCCAAGTTTGCTGACAGCTCTGAAAGATTAAATTTTCCTAAAAATTTCAAATTCATTTAAAAATTTCCAAAAAGAAAAGCTTGGGCCTTCAAGAGGTGCACTTGGATGAGATGATATCAGGTCCCCCAGTTCCAGGTGAATGACCGGCATCTGAATACAATAGACTTTGTGTACAGCATAAAATTCCTCCAAAATAGGTATTCCCACAAATTTGAAAATTTAAAATCACTTATCATTTCAAATTCTCGCACCACGCGTTCTACAGACTCTCCTGGCTTGGGTGTTTGAGGTTAAGGCCTCAGAATACTCAGAAATCAAAATATAAACAATGCACGGTTGCCACATCACGATTACGAAAATGGGACAATCTGTCCCAAGTTAGACCGCAGTCCCAAGTTACCTTAACTGACGGTATTTTTTCTTGTCGATGTTTTTAAGAGTCCTGACTCTAGATCCAATGTGTTTATTTTCCCAGTGATGAAAATTGGTGAGTGGGAGTAATTTTTTTGGGCGTTATTTTTAGCGACAAAAATTAATTTTTGACGGCACCATTAGAATCAGCGTTAAAAAATATCGCGAAAATGTGTTTCTTCGCTATGACTCGTCATTTATTAGCTATGGTGAAAAATAAAAATCGGTGAATCTATCGGAAAATAAAAATGTGAACCGATTGACACGATTGAATCGACACCAATTCGATCCACAAAATTCGGTTGATTCACGGGTTTGTCGATCGATTCACGGTTGTCAATCGAATTACGGCAATCGGTTTACGTTTTTATTTTGCGATCGATTGATATCGATCGAATCGACGCAGGTTTTTTTAAAATAATTTGTCGATCGAATCAGTTTACGTTGAAAAATCCACGCATTAATTTTTCGATCGATTCATGTGTCGGTTGAATCCATGCCCTCCATGCGTTACGCGTTATTAGTATAATTTTATACAGGGTGTCCCATGCAGGATTTGTTTTTTAGGTACAGAAACGGCACTATAAAAGGTACAGGTGTCAACAGTACTTTATAGAGCGAGATTATTGAATATGCTAGGTGCAGGTATATATGATCACTCTTACCATGCAGAATTCAGTTATAATACATTCCAACAAATTGCGATCAATTTTCAAGCCTTTTTGAATTTTATTCTTCTCGTTTTTGAGAGGAGCTGTAAAAAACGGTATTCAAATTTTTGCAGAAAATTTTCCTCACTGATGTTTCTAAAATTGTTGATGCTTTTTTAAGGTTAATAAAAGAAGTGAAAACGGTATTCGTCATAACTTCCCTTAAAATACCCTTTTAGGAATGACGATTTGATTATTTATGATGAAAGAAACGCCTTGATAATAACGCTTTTATAAAAGTCAATAACAAAATCATTTTCTTCTCCAAATAATTTGTCTAAAAATCGTCGATACGACTGTCGCAATTTTTCTCGCAAATTTTAAACTAAGCAATAACTAACTTCCCGTCTCTTTTTAAATGTTTCGTAACTGTTTGCCATTCCAGAGATAGTCCCTAATAATGTCGTGCAAAAACTCTGATTAGTTCAATTTTGAAAAATGAAACCAATATTGAGTACTTGAATATAAATGGATGATCTATAGGGATTCTCAGTACCATCGCAAGGAGAAAAATGAGCCCAGTTCTTACCTGAATGGAATAGTATGGTGTAGAACTTGTGTGTGGCACACTATGTGTGACACTGACCCAACTTTTCTTGGCTAGCTGCAATTTTCACGGAAACTGATGAGCAATTTTAGAAAAACACGTTAATACCGATCAGAGAATAGGTACCCACAGCCGCACACAAGAGAGAAACGTTTTCACGAAATAACGCACAAAACAAACGCTGGTTTCTGGGCCCGTTTTCAACACACACACAAAAAAAACCCTCAAGATTACCAGGCACTCGAATGCTAAAGATACAGCCTTTTTCTCGAGAGGAAATTTGTAAACGAGGCTGAAAAAAAATGTGGGTCAAATCAACTAAAAAGCACTGGCCAAGAAATATTACGAGGAAAATTTAGCTGCCACACAATTGAATCAATATGAATTGGAGCAGTATTTTTCGGAAATCGAGGGGGTAAAACGACGGAATGAAGATGGAAATTAAATTGTTGGGTTCTATCCGAAGAATACGTAGTGGGGTTGAATCATGCGCGGAAGGTGTGGGTGGCAGCTCGTCGAATGAAATTCATCCTGAGTTCAGAGAGGGCGGGATGATCAGGGACGCTCCACCATTGGCGAAGGGATAACGCACCGCGATACCACGCCTCCCCTAATTTTATCTTGGCACCTTCCTCCACCATGCAATGGCAAGCGACATCCCATCTCGTGGAAAACTTAAATTTTTCAGGAGGAGCCAATGATGATTGGGTTATCCTCGCGCAGTTCGCACATTTTTCTAATTAATTTTTGTTCATTTGTTATTTATGTTTAGGTAGGCAATGGTCACCAAGGGCTGGGGTAATATGCGTGGGTAATATGCGTACTTGAAAATTGGTAAAAAAGAGGAAGTAAAAGAAAAAAAAAGAAAAAAAAGGAAACAAAAAAGGAGACGCGAAAAAAGAAGAAAAGGAAAAAAGAAAAAAAATTGAAAAAGGTTACGGGGAGTGGGATCTTAGTCCACGGAGGAAATTTTTTCCGTTCAGCGCTTTTAGTTTATCAAGTGGGATTAAATAATCAGATTCTGAGAGTTCAACAGATAACCTCTTTTAGTGTCCCACCCATGCAGTACAGTGCAATGAAAATATCGTAATTCGTAATAAAATTGTGATTTAATGCAACAAAATGGAATTTTTTTACCATGAAATTGCAATATTTTTCACCGTTTGAGCATTAGATGTCGATTTCAAATAACAAATAAGATGAGCTCCATGCTCTGTAAAGATACCTAAGCAATTTTCAATGCAAAGATTAATTCGACGGCGAAATTGCAAAAAAGGGTACTTCGGTTGCGGTGTTTCATAATCTTCGCTACTGTTTTATTATTCAAAAGGAAACCGAACCAACATGATGGCTTCAAATTTTCACAGAATATTTTTTACAAAGAGAATAATAACAAGAGTAAATGGATTGCATTTTGCAAAAAGGAACCAAGAGCATCACTATGTTCCTAAGATTGTGCTTTGCCTCGGCAGAAAAACCTGATTATCCATTAACAGTCTCTATTTTACTTGCTAATAACTGTAAATTTAAGACAAAAATTACCATGTGAATTTCATATTTTTTCATGATTTCAGTAATTGTATTGCAAAGGATGAAGTTGCACAATCTTAGCAACAATGCGATGCTTCTGGTTCCTTATTGCAAAATGCAATCCAAATAAGAATAGTAAGAGAGTGGGGCTAATCGTTTGGCGCGAAAAACACCCAACAATGATAGGCAGTGCGATTGGATAAATTATGTCAACACTGAGCCCTAATTAGATGCCCAGCATCGCAATGTATTGAGTAGGTAAGCTTTAATCAGAGCAGGGCCGAATTAAGGGGGCGGCCCTTGGCGGCAAACTTAGGGGGCGGCAAATTTTGCAATTTTTTTTAATGCAGGTACAACAAAATTGGATTCAGAAAAAAATTACAAACAAGAAAAGGTGACAAAATCTCTCATCTCCTGAGAGTTCATTAATTTCTAATTTTGTCGTAATTCGGTGATACAAAAGACTGCGCACCTTTAATTAGTTGAGTTAAGAGAGAAACCAAACACGTAATTTTGCCTGGAGCGGCGCGGCGCAAAGAGAAATGATGACGAGGACTTGAGATGAAAAGGAGAAGCCCTCGACGCGGCGATCGGCATGTAACACATATTAGCGCCTACGAGACTGCATGAATACTTCACGCATTGCGTCAAACACTGTGCGGTCAACAGCGGTCGGCGCGGCGCGGCGTGAAACGCACAGTGCCTACAAGACTACATGAATACTTCACGCATTGCGCCAAACACAGTGTGGTCAGCGCGGCACGGCGGCGGAAGTTAAAATTATTAAACCACATTTATGTTTGTTCTTTCTTAATTTTTTAGTTCATTTCTTACAATAATGAAAGGCCTTGTCACCACAGAGATAGGTTTACGGAACTGAACTTTCGCGCGAAGTTCCGTGAACTTTTGCTAGTAGTGTTGACAGGGCTTACGCAAAAAAAGTGTCCAACACGAGTGAACGCGTCTTATGCACCCTTCTCCCTCCGGCACGTTCACTTGATGGTTTTTATTGATATTTTAAAATTAATGATAAGAGGGCGGCAAAATACAGGCGGCCCATGGGCGGCAAGTAGGTAAATCCGGCCATGAATCAGAGAGACTTTTTTAAAAACAATTTAAAAATGATCCACTAGTGTGTAAGGAAGCGTTTGCTCAGTTTTAATGCAGAAAAAACTACTGATTTACAGTCGTGATGATGGTTCATAATGATGCAGCTCATGTTTTGAGCTACTCAAAATATGCAAGTTTTAGTTGGTATACCCACATTTTCGCAGTCAGGAATTTTAAACTAACATTTCAATCTAATGAAGAGGATTAATAAAACAAACACCCTAGCATTAGGTCACACCACGGAAGCAACAATTAAACCAAGACAAACACCTCGCAACAGCGTTGTCGCATTGAACTCAGAGACGCTACATTTCTGCGCAACCGGGGTACATATTGCAACCAATTGCAATTGAGGGACTTGGAGGACAAGGCGCATAAGTGCAGTTTTTGCTATTTCGAGAGATACGTGTTTCAACTTTCAAAATTACATGGATCCTAATGGTGGAGAGAAAGTTCAAACTGGCTTTTTGATGCTTAAAAATTGTATTTTGGGAGCGATTTTTTCACAGAATTTCGATTGAGACTAGTTTTACTGGAAATCATTAATATCTCAATTCTTTCAAAAACTGCACTTAGGCGGCTTGTCCTCCAAGCCCCTCAATTACAACGTAAAATTATTGCTTGTGTATCAGAATGTTGTGTGTGCCGCCTGCATACCGATTGAAGGAACACTTCTTTTATTGAATATTTTTTGCAGTAAGATTGAAATATGCTGTAATTTCTCATTGCATCGCAAATTGCCTATCTTTCTGACACATGGAACTCATTTTGATGGTTGCTTACACTCTGCATCTATTGACCAAATAATGTAAAAATATTGCAAGTCCATGGTTAAAAATTGCAATTTTATTGCACTAAATTGCAATCTTATTTCAATTTTTCCATTGCGCCGTTTTACTTATGGTTAAAGGTCACTGCAAATAAAAACATACCTAATGAATAAAAAATGAGGGAGCTTTTCTGCACCATGGTCGCATTTTTCTATATTGTAGGTAATACTCATTGTTATCTTCTGATGATGGATTATATCCGAAAATGCATGAAAGAATTTTAATTTTATGTATTCTTCAGCATCTTTGGTCTGTTAAACAAGTTGTCTCATAGATGCTAATATGGAGCCTAAACTTAACGGTACCAAGAAAAGCTCGAATTTTACCGGGATACTATGGGGACATCATTCACACCATATTCCGAGGTATGTACGCAACTTGTTTTCAAATAGAAAAGAAAAGGTATGTATTTGGCATTTTTGAATCGGGTCCCTCTAAAAATAAGGTCACTCGTGTTGTGTCATTGACTTGACAACATCGCAAGATAGAAATGAATGGTTAAATGAGGAGGAGCGGAGAAGGGAAATATCATATTTCTAAAACAAATATTGGTGTCAAAAATACGTCAGTTTGTTTCGGGGTTGTCGAGAAAGGGGAGTAAAAAACGGTGGCGAAGCCCTGGGACTGGGAAAAAGAAGATCTGGCACATAGATGCCAGATTCTCCTGAAAATTAGCATGGTTCCCATTGGACTCAATTTAAAAAATCTGATTTTCCAGCACTATTTGGTGACAATGCTGGGAATCGGACGGATCATGATCGACTTGCGAGTCTATATCCACTTCCTCTAAAATTATTCAACCGGGGTTAGTAAATGACGTAATTACTTTTCGTATATTACTATAATGTGAAAAAAAAGAAGAACAAATTGAAAACTCGGTGATGTTGCTTCTTTTTCAAATTATTATCTCCCACTTGAAAATAGAATAGAGCAGAGTCCGACTGGCCAAAAGGCCAATCTGCGAATGGCAGATTGGCCTTCTCGAGAAATCATGAAGAATTTACGCTTTACGTTGACTAGCTTCTCGAAAAAGAAATAAAGTTTCTGAGGAAGTCTGCAACGTCGCAAATGGAGAAACGTCGTCTCTCAATTTGCTCATCGATAAGTGTGTTTAAAATTGAAGGCATTTTGACTTTCTTCCCTCAACTTATATTCGTCTGTAACGATAGACAATGGGACGCGTTTTGCTACGGCGCCTTGATACAACTATACTACCTCGACGGATGTCCGTATTGCGTTCAAAAAATTGAAGGCGTTTTGACTTCCTACGCACCAACTGATACTGGGTCGATCGACGGACGCGTTGGTCGGCGGAGACAGGGACTTGATGCAACTATTGAAACATGATGGATGTCCGTATCGCACCGCCTGAAGTGCGAAACCATGTATCTCCATTGCGGTGTTTCAAAATGTCCCAACCCAAACCCCGAATTTCGTTTGTGGTGTTAATTAATCTCTACTCTCATTTTATTTTTCCAAAAGAGAACAAATTAACATCATTCCTTGAGGTTTTTCAAACCTCGCCTCGCACAGAGAAGAAAAATCACGGAGTTCTTTCAGAATGGATGTTCAATCCGCAACATCGCAAATCGAAACACGTGGTTTGGTAGTTTCAGTATAGATATGTATTACAATATTTGGATTTTTTTTTTTTCAAATTGAGATTTCCATTGGTATGAAAACCCAGGTAGGTATTACAACCGTAAAAGGATTGCGTCCTGTCAGCTTTTTTTTTTTTTTTTCTTGCAAGCTCTCATTTCAAGTTTCATTGTATGGTAAACCTTGTGCTCTTACCGCAGACCGCAAGATAATTATGAAGGTATAGGCATGCACTTTTATTTGGGAGGGGGGAGGGGGATCGCCTGTGTGTTTTAATTTTAGACAACTTTTTAAATATTCATCCAGCAGACGGTACATTTTGTAATAGGAAACCACTGAGTCGGTTCATTTTAGAGACAATATTTTTGTCATTCGTTTTACTATGATATAGCTGCTTTGATGGTTGTACCAGAAATAGTGGGTCCCAATTTTACAAAATAAAGTTCATGAGTCTACGCACCTTTTAACGTGTTGAAACGCCTTCAAAATGGTTAGGTATGCAAATTCCAGGCAAATTCGGTTCGAAAATAGTCGGCAGTGATGTCGTGCTGGCAGTGACTCAAGGAAGACGAGAACATGACGAGAACGGAATGTCAACAATTAATTTTCAGTTGAGAACCATGAGCAAATAAGTGTGAAAAATCACTGAAAACTTCGATACTTTGAATGAATATTGAGAATGATAATTATTAATCAAAGGATTTACTTTTCGTAGAATTAATCAACGAATTATTTCTCTTTTCGAAATGTTTTGCAAGTCGGCAATGTCTCTGACGTCACGGACGTCACAGTCAAAACAAAAACAAAAACCTTAACCTAACTTATTTGATTGTCACAACTCACTATTAGTCACATCACATGGTTTCAGCCAAGTTTCAGCGCAATCGCCGAGGCTTTTTCTGCTCTTCTCGGAGGTGATGTGATAAAAAGCGTGTTTCCAAAAATTTAATCTAATCAGATTACAAATTTAGGTAGTTTCTTCTGCCATAGTGATAAAATTCATACGAGCAAAGTAGTGTGTACTAGTTTCTGAAGTGCTTTAAATGAGACTCATCGCCTCAAAGCTTGGACTGATACTGCAAACTACCCGTATATTGAGCGCTTCTAATTTTTTTGTGTCAGGTGAACGAAAATTGTCGGTGTTCATGGAGCAGAATAACGCATTATCTCATCTGAAGTCTCTGAAAACTCCGGTCAAAATTGGCACTCACGATGGTACATTTCATTGTGACGAAGCACTTGGCTGCTATTTGTTGAAAATACTTCGTCCAGATGCTCAGATTCATCGTTCACGAGATCAATCAATATTGGATACTTGTGATGTAGTTATTGATGTTGGAGGTGTCTTTGACGTGAAGAAGCTGAGATTCGATCATCATCAACGAGAATTCAATGAATCTTTTGGATCATTGATCGGCGACCCAAAGTGGACGATCAAACTTAGTAGTGCTGGTCTTGTATACACTTATTTTGGTAAGGAAATCTTAAAAAAAATATTAGGTAATGAAGCAGATGATCAATTCATAGAAACTGTGTTTCATAAAATATATGAGGGCTTTATTCAAGAGGTGGATGGTGTAGACAATGGAGTCCCTATGTTTGAGGGCGAGCCATTGTATCAAATTACCACTGGTTTAAGTAAGAGAGTCCATAACTTGAACAAAGAATGGAATGACTCTGATGACTTTAATGAAATGGAAGCTTTTGAGAAAGCGATGGAACTAACAGGCTCCGAGTTCAAAGCAAGAGTTATCCAAGCGTGGAAAGTATGGTGGCCTGCCAGATCTATTGTCATTAACGCCATTAATCATCGCTTTAAGGTACATGAGTCAGGGGAAATTATTGAGTTAGAAAAATTTTGCCCGTGGAAGGAGCATCTCTTTGAACTTGAAAAAGAGCTAGACCTTTCTCCCTCTATTAAATATGTGATTTTTAACTCTGGCAGCTGGAGAGTTCAAGCTGTATCTGTGAATAGCTTGAGTTTTGTCCTTCGAATAGCACTTCCAGAAGAATGGCGTGGATTAAGGGATGAAGAGCTGTCAGCTAAAGCTGGAATCAAAGACTGTGTCTTCGTCCATGGCTCTGGATTTATTGGTGGCAACAAGAACCGAGATGGAGCTCTGGAAATGGCTGTTAAAGCTTTGAAAATTGGGAAAAGTAGAGGTGATATCAAATCTTCATGAAAAATTTGCTGAAGTGAAAGTGCCATTTCAGAGTTTCTACCTTTCACCAAAAACATTTTTATTCTCTGAAATGGAGCAGCTCATATCAAGTTTCTGCTGTTTGCCACTATTAAAATGCCAACATTGCCAGTAATATTTGCTCTAGTGTGTGCCAATAATTCCGTCTAAAGTTTAAAGTGCACAGATTCTAAATAGAACTGGAGGGACTTAAGTCTTTTAAGCCACTGGAATCTGTAAGAACCTCAGACTCTTCTGTACGGCCAAACTTTTTTTGCGATGCTATCAATATACTGCTTTTAACCGTTTGTCAATTCCTCCATCCTTCATTAAAACAATGACCTAAGGGCAGCAGTTGCAGGGTTTTGAGCTTGCCAGTTAAAATAAGACTACAGGTCCTCCAACTCTATTACAACTGGCCTGTGCACTGTATGGTTTGAAGGTTGTTATTTCATTCAGCATTATCAAATAACGCCTTGAATCATTTCATTTTTGTGTGATAACAGATTTTCTGAATGTAGTTACCATAAATGAATGTACCAACACTTGGATGTCTGTGCACCTATGCTAAAATAAACTTAGCAGGGCCCGAATTTTGTCGGCACTTTTTAATGGACATGCAACAATATCTAGCGATGAGTCCAAACCGCACCATGCGCCGATCAGAGATGCTAAGACTGACTTAATTGCAGTTGTAACTTATTTAAGTATATTTGGATTGCATTTTGCAAAAAAGAACCAGAAGAATTGCGATGATGCTAAGATTGTGCATTTTCGTCCTTTGCAAAAAAATTACTGAAACCATGACGAATTATGAAATTTACATTGTAATTTTGTCTTAAATTTACAGTTTTTAGCTAGTAAAATAGAAACTGTCAGTGGATAATCAGGTTTTTCTTCCAAGACAAAAGAAGTTGCACAATCTTAGCAACATTGCAATCCTCCTGGTTTCTTTTTGCAAAATGCAATCCATTTAACTACCAGTGGCAGGACCGACAAAATTTGGCCCTATTCTCAGGCTCTTGATAAAAACTGTCAACTTTTACTTATGGCCTCCTGTACCGTTTAATTTTTGGTCTCAGCAAATTGTCCCTAACCTACTTGTGATTGATTCCAAATAAATTAAGTAAATTTTTTAAAACAATATTTGTACATTCTTTTGTCAAACCTGAAGCCTGGATAGTCAGCTGAATCTTTGGAGCTTATTTAGTGACAAAATAATTGAAGGCACTCACAGTTTTATCGTAGATATTTACTCTTGTCTGGAAAAGTGCCCCTAAGGCTTACTTATTTTCTGTAAAAAAAAATTTCATGCTTTCAGACTTTTATTTTAGGCCTCTTGGCAGTATGTTGATGATGACAGTACCAAACCATTTATCTCAGTTGGAGATACTGCAAATCTCCCATCATATTTTCCTTTCTGAGAGGAGGACTGATCATTATTTTTGCACTAATTTTACTTGTTTTCTGTGTTCTCTCCACAATATCTTCTGAAAAGTTTCCACCAGAATGCTGAGCAGTGTACTCTTGGAAACATAAACTATGAACAGAAATATTCAAACACTGTACCCACGATTCATGGTTTGGTAGTTCTACTTTCAATATATTGTAAGCCTTTGGATGTCTCTACTGCCACAATGAGGAGGAACGCCGTGTGAGTCTTTAAACGCTGCCAACTTTTGTTTAATATACTTAAAACAAATTTTCTGAAAAACTTGTAAATTTTTATCTTCCCGTTTTTCAGAAAATTACTTTCATAATTTGATCCAAAAGACTTGAAAATTGCGAGAAGTAAAATTCATATCTTTCCTCAAAAATAAAGCTTTAACTGGGGGAAGTTTGGTGACACTCAAAGATGCTAATGGCGTTTTTCCTCAGCCCGGCAGAATAAGTTGTGGTGAATCGTTTTCCATATTTTTGAGTTGACCCTCCGAAGCAATTTATAAATTCAAATCTTGACCAAAGCAGTTTTTGATCAGTAAACAGTAAACAGAGCAATATTCTGAATCACACTCCTGTCTGTACATTTGCCTGGGCCTCTTTGTCTAACTGTTCAAATTGTCTACTGTATGACTATAGAGTTTGAGGGAGGACGGATTTGCAAGAAGAAAATGATCTCATGGAATAGAAATGATTTTTTTTTTTTTTTTAAAGTCAGCTTTTTGTCAAGGCATTAACAACAGAAAAAGAAAAATCATTGCAGAAATTTTGGTCTAAAAAAGAGAAGAATGGGTCGAGATTAATTCAGAAAACTTGTTAACACTGTAGCAACATTATATTTATGAAAGGATTTAATACATCTTTTATCTACTTAAAGAAGTAAAGTCATTTATAAAAATATCATTGGACTATCTCCAGCTAGGGTTACCAAAGATGAAGATAAAGACAAGACTGATTGATGATGTCAGACTGTAGGATGGATTTAGGTTTGGATACGTTGTTGTAGTTGAACTTACTTTTCCTGGAAAGGGTTGCCATAGTTTGAATGTAACAGAGAAAAAGGTTATTTCATTTCCTATGAAAAACTTGATTTTTTTTTTAAAAAATGCTTCCTGAAAATGTGAATTGTTTGGTAAATTATTTAGAGGGAAACAAAGCTCACAACCATGGACATATTATGACTTGGAGCAAAAATTTGAAACGTAAAAAGAAAAAATTGCTTTGGAATGTCATAGGTATTTGAAATTAATTCCATTTCTGTGTGAAATCAAAATTTTTGCCCTTGAAGTTGTGGTTGGTGTACTCATTTGAAATTCTTCTAACGCCTCTTCAAAAAAGTATCTGTGAAAATGAGTAAAAAGTGCCCGACTTATTAACAGCAAAACGATGGGTCACTAGAAAAGGTCTTAATTCAAAAAGAAGTCGCAGGTTTTCTTTGCGAAATCTTACGAAGAAAACGATTCACACAAGAAGTTCGGAAATCAACTCCATAATGAAATATAAACTAGATTATACACGTAATAAGGTTATTTGGACGGCGGTAAGCAGAAAGGAACCAAGCCACATCAGCTATTGCCAAATTCAATGGGGCAATTTAATTTTTTACATGGAAACAGTTGCGCGGATTTGTGTGCGAATTTCAGTGAATTTTCTGCATAATACGAAGCAAACCCCTGAAAATTTTCAAAGGAATCCGCACAAACGTTCTTTTGTAAAGAAATTAAATTGCTCAATTAAATATGGCAATGGCTGATGAGGCTTGGTTCCTTTCTGCTGTACGCGGTCCATTTGTCTTTTCTCTATTTAACTCTAGTTAATTGTAAACATTAGCATCTTCTTTAGGACTTGATTTCTAGGCTTCATATCCTGTGATTCGTTTTCTATGCGAAATTTTTTGGCAAAAACATGGTGCAGAGTGCTTTGATTCACACCTTATCTGGTCTGAAGACCAATTATATTCTAAGTTTGAGAAAACTGTAAAGGAGTCAAATCATCTTTAGCATTTTGTCTCATTTCTATTCAGAAAAGTGAAGAATAAATTGTTGCTGTCACAGTCATTCCTCGTCAAGACTTCATCCTTACATTTATAATATACATCTAAAACACAACTTAGTCTGAACATCTTTCAAATTTACCAATTGGAGTTCAGAGACATAACATGCCTCTTTTCGGTTCCTTGCTTTTTTCAGACAAAACTCTCTTAAATGGAGAGATGATTTATTAATATCTCCCTTGTAAAAATGGCATCCCTCCAACAGTAACATAAGTAGCAGTCTTTTCTATATTTCACTAAAATATATAACAAATAAAACTACCATAAAATTTATCAGAAGTAAGTAGTCTCACTTGGTATTTACAGTTAAAATTTACAAATCGTAAGAAAGCTGCAAATTTCAATACAAGCAAGAAAAATTTACAAACATACTGAGTTCATGGACGGAAAAAATTTCAAAAAAATTCGCCATTATTTACTTCACTGCTGAATTAATTCTTTAATATTATCAGAGTCAACTTCTATTTTAGATAGGTATAATAATTAACTAACAAAGGTTAACAATTTTGGCGTTTCTTGTGATGCTAGGAGTCGGACGCGTTTTGCTCGTCTCCCTTCATGTTTGCAAAATAAATTCACCATAAAATTTGTCATTCTAAGATTGTTCGATTTGCTTTCCTAATGCAGTATTTACAAAAAAAAAAGAAAAAAATACCTAAAAATACATCCGTTTGCAAGTAGTTTTGAGCGTTTAAAATTCTTACGAGGAAGAGATGTTGTTTAAAAGTTGAAATTATGAGGGAAATATATGATATTTAATTGCAGTTTACATACTTTAGCTTAAAATAGTACAAATAAACTAAAATTGAAAAAAAAAAAAAATCCGTTTAATCAATGGTCAGGTCAGGGCTAATTCAAAAGCCAAGATAAAAATCACAAGATGGGCCAACATTATTGATGAGAAAAAATGTGTTATAAAACAAGGAGGAAATTTAAATACAAAACAAAAGTTTGTCAAACGATTTTCCGTATCATTGCATTGAAAGTTATTCTGAAGCGTAGGTCCATTTTCAAAGCGGCTAGGATGTAAAATTGTTTTCCGAAACAATTTTCAATCATTATGACAGATATTTTAAGGTGGACTCATTATTTGTAACCCTCTTTTCCGAAATTTTAAAAATTCAAAACTACGATTTCACAAAATTTGTTTGCAAATTCAAAAATGATATTTATACAAGTAAACTTTACAAGTTCATTAACAAAAATACAAGTACCTAAATTTTACTATATTTCTCTATCTACATTTACGACTAACACGACTCTTAAAAAATGACAGAGGATTATTGAGCTAAAACTTCAGGTAAAACTATAAAAATGATTCCCCAAAATATAACAAGCTATGTGGACAGTGTTCATGATTCTAGAGATAAAAATATTCTTCATAATGGGGAATCACTGCACATTTCTTCATAAATGTACTCTTTGAATTTCGACTCAATTGCATAAAAATGAACAGAGAAGCTCTTATAAGTAATCTCACAATATGGAGACCACTCACAAAGTCGAAGATATGATAGCACTGGTGGTATTTTAAATTTTATTTTTTGATCTTCAGGCACATAGTTCAGAAATTCAGGAATCATAATTACTTTCAATAAATTCCTATCACCTATAAACAAAAAAATCTAATTCGTATGCATGGCTTTTATTTTGAGGCAGATAATCACTGCTTGAAACAAGCAAAAAAAGCTAAGAAGTTTTCCATAGTGACAGATGAAAAGAAGACAAGGAGAAGAAAACAATAAATAAATATCACAAATTGAAGACTTTACGAAAAGGAGGGCTATTATCGTTCACACCAGGCACAGCTCCTCCAAAATTAATTCTTGTTTCGTACACCCTTTTTAATTGAAAGCACCTCAAAAGAGGAGCTGGTAATTGTCAAAAGAAAATCTTCTCCAACTTATACTTGGAAATATGCCATCAATCAAATAAACTTCTACCTAACTGAATGCTAAAATTATTTACAAATGAGCTGCTCTGGGATATTTCATGGTTATAAAATTGTATGCAAGTAGGATGGACTTCAATTTCCTTTAAAAAAAAGTAAAATAAAATAATAGTAATAAAAAAATAACACTTATGGGTAGGCTGAAAATCCATTTTACATTTAATTGATTTGTAAAAGGCACTATATATTCAGTCATAGAGATATGACACAAGTATCATGAAAAGGTAACTTTGGTAAAGTCTCATGGATTGGAAAATCCTCAGAGATTTGATAGTAAACAAAATAATGCAATCAAAAACAAAAAGCATGTAAGATTTTAATCGTAATGCAAAGCCTCCATTGCTTTGCAAGAGAAAACAGCAGGCTAATATTACTGAGAAAAAAAATTCTAATCAAACTTCTTTTAGAGATTGCATTTTTGCTTGTTTCTGTTCTTTTCAAGTAAATGAAAGAGACTGCTCATAATATACTCATAAGTATTGAAAAAGTTCATAGAGAAAAAGTTTTCACAAGGTTTCTCTGTTTATCTCATCATAGAGTGGAGTGCGACCTCTTTACAAGTACGTTTTATGAGTAATTTTGGTAATTTCAACTAACCATATTTTTGAATTCTCTCTACATTCTATAAAACCTGAGTTTTTCACAGTTATGATACTTTTCGATCACCTAAAACGAATTCAATGAACACGTTTCTACAGAGCTGCAGAGAAATAACAGATAAAACGTACTTAAATGAGCAATTTATATTCTGGGACAAAACAGTTATTCGAGATAGATCAGTCTCATGGCAACACACCGATAAGTTTTTTACAGAGCAATGAGACGATTGAAAAAACTATACCGACTAAAATCAGACTTTAGTTGGATTAGTTGATAGGAATAGTCTCAACATACTCCAAATTCAGAAGAAATGACTAAATCAGCTCTGGATCACCTTCTCCTGGACGCACTTTGGAGTTTCGTTCCTACGATGGTGTGATGGATCCATGGTTTTACTGCCGATACGGCTGAGAAAACAGGTGGATGAGACTTCTTTCCACAAGATTGATGATAGCTCAGGACACCTTGCAGCTCCCATGTTGAGCCATCGTTATTGCACATCAAAGGAGCTCCTTCATCATTCTATTTATGAAAAAAAAAAATAAAACTAGGTGAGACCACAGAAAAATAGAAACAATAATCATGCTAGAGCAAAATATTAGACTGGGACAAGTTAACATACGGAGAAAATTCTTACTCTAATTCTGCCTTGCTAACACAGTTCAGATAAGTAGACCGTAAGATAGTGCAAGGACAGTAAGATTAGGGCAGGAATTCCAACTTACGGTAAAACGGAATTGTAATTTGTTCAATACATGGAGTCTTATGGGATGGCCGCAATTTTATCTGTTATCATCGGCGTAAATGTTTCAATTTTGGCTTTGATGTAAAGTGTATCTTATTTTTTTAAACAAGCAGAATTATATTTTGCAATTACTTAGTAGACTTGGGTAAAATATGGATTTTCTGCTCTATGACTCAGTATGGCAGAAGTGATCATTGATCAGCCTGAGGGTGAAGTTATGGATAATCGTGGAGGAAGAGAAAAAAAAGATGAAAATGGTACCATCGGTTACATTATTAAAATGAGAGAATCATTCCCCTTTTTATTCCTTTTAAGAATATTTCCATGAACTATGGTTCAATGTGATGGAAAATACCCTTAAACAGCTGGAGATACTTAAAAGCACAACGAATGGTACCTAGATTAAGACAATGAATCTTGGCTAATTGCAGAAGTTCAAAAACTTCCATGAAAATAAATTAAAATGGTGAGGTGTTTTGCGACTACACAGTCCATTGAAAATTCACTATCATAAAATTGTGTGAAATTGGGTCAACTTTGACTATTTTTAGAGGTAGAATAATATTCTTATGAAAAGTAACAACTATTCAAGTACTCACAAAGCAAGGAGTTCCTTCAGGATTTGAAAACTGAGCACAGATTTCATCATTGGATAAGAATCCTGAGTAATGACTGGTTGAGTTGCATTCTGACGCATCTAACATTGAGACTGGCATGAATTCTAGATGCCTCTTACTACCATCTGTAATGAGAAGATGAGATAAGGATATAAATATAAAAACAAAAACTAAAGGGAGGATTCAAAACATTGAAATAAACAAAAATAAAAAAGCACAGCATAAAATCCGATTTCCTGAAATATTTGGAATTTTCAACCATAGTTAACTGTTAATTAAAAAGCAGCTGAGGAGAGAGAGAATTAGCAGCAAACTCGTGCGTTTGTCTCATCAGGCAAATTTAGGTTCATGAGAGAAACTTTATGCATTGGTGTTGGATGCAACGTGAAAAAGTATTCTCTTTTTTTGAAGCAGGGCAATGTGCCAAAAATGGTCTGTCCTGAGGAAAAATCTATGAAGTCTTAAGAAGAAGCTCTTGTACTTAACAACATCACTCTCCTCAATTCAATTACTTAATTACTAGCGATAAAATGCTCTCGATTCCAAAAAAGGACTCTCAGCCAAAGACCTCAGGAGAACATAAATATCTATTTATTATTCCTCTGCGTTCACGGGCTTGGGCAAGTATAGTTTTTGCACTGAGAACTTTACCAGAAAAGGACATGAAATGTGCTTATAAAGAGAAATTTCTTACTCATTGGTGAACTTTCAACCCAGCTGGCAACGACGCAAGTTTGCTGAGGGTCAGCTTCTTTCAGAGGTAGACAAATTGCTTCGGTTGATCCAGCAAGTAGGAATGGCTCTTTGAGTTGAACTAAAACAATATCATTGGTGTACAATAGTCCATTGTATTTGAATTCGGGATGAGGAACTATAGAGATAACATCTCGTTTCTGAAGTTCTTCATGGTTTGCAGAGAACTCTACATCTCCTCCGTATGCTACCCAATTTTCTGTTGAAATAATTTTATTCCTGAAACAAGAGAGAAATAATAAATAAGAATTCACAGCTAAAACAGTTTTGTGCATTAATTATAAATTATTAATTACAAAGGCTCCTCTTTGGAATAAGATTAATTTGCAGACTCTTCTAACAGGCTGCTGTAATTTTAGTTAATATTCAAGGAGGTACGTAAAAAGTGCAGTCAAAAAAACTCTGGACAGAGACACTTTTTTTCAAGTAATTTCTTGTAGGATAGAGAAAAAGTATTGGTATCCAAACGCCAGATGTTCTAAAACCAAATCCAAGAATTCTTCTCTAAGAAAATCGATTTTTCAGCATCAATTTAGAAAAATCAGCATCCTTAAATCCCACAATCATTCAGTAATGACCCTGACAAAAAACTGAGAAAGATTGGCTATTACTCACTTTGAATAAAGGCAGCTGTAGGAACCTAAAAGCCAGTTGGGGCTTAAAATGCTGGCTGCACAAGTTTTCCTGCTCTTTATATTTGAGAGAGCTACAATCGAGGGCCACTGTCCGCTGACAGCGATAGAGTGCTTCGTCGGCGTTGATGGCATGTCACTGGCTACAGCAGTGAAAGTGCCACAGGCTGAAAACAAACGAAAAAAATCGAGCTCAAAAAACAATTTAAAGTTAAGTTAATTTCATGCATAAACTTGCAAGAAAATACGACTTACAGAAAAAGGAATAATAAGTTTCTTTGCAACTTTTGGTTTTTGAAAAGTTTGTCAGTAGAAAAATAAGTAAACATTATTTCACCTCATGGTTTTAAAGAATTTGAGGAGATATTTTAATTTTGCACCGCTGTCACAGAGTTAGTAAAAATTCACAAGATAAAGAAAATGAAAATATTGTGAAAATCAACACGATGCAAATTATGTTAAGATACCCTCTTGTGGGTAGGTGCTCAGGCTCACGAAAGATGCCGTTTTACGGCGTAAAATACAGCTCTAGTCGAATCAAAACTAACTAGCATTGCTAAAAAGTTATTCCAAAAAGATTATCAACAGACATAAAAAAACTAAGTTTAATTGAATGTAAGTACATTGGTGGATCAGCTACTTACTGTATTCTTGACAAGCTAAATCCACAATCTCAGAGCATTCAGAGGCAGGCCCAAGGTAGGCAGAAACAGGTAAACTTGGGTCAAGAGAAACGTTCTGTTTCAGTGTTACAACTTTCATCGAGGCCAAATCAGCGGCATCAATTTTTCGACCGACATCAGACAACGACTTGGCAAAACCTAATCTTTGACAGATCAAGTCACCCGCATCTTTATTCCAGTTATCATAGCAAAGCTTCGATTCATCAGAGCTACTTCGGATTTTCACCACCTTGTCATAAGAAACACAATCCCATTCATCACTCATATCCAGGCAGTCGTAGACACCATCACAGACTTTCTGTTTGTCAACACATCCACCTGTGTTACACTTATGTTGGTCTACATCACAGTCACATAATTTTTCATCTTCTCCATTATAACAGTCTGGGATACCATTGCAACGTAGTGTGCTTGCGATACAATAGCCTTCCGAACAGTGGAACTCATCATTGCCACAACTTTGAGGGCAATTCAGCTCATCTGTATGATTGCTACAGTCAGGCTTGCCATCACATTTCCAAATGGTTGGAATACACCTTCCGTTGGGACACTGGGTTTCATCAAATATACACTGCCACTTCTCGCAGTTCTGCTCGTCAGACCCATCGAAGCAGTCGGTGATGCCATTGCACACCAAATCACGTTTTAGGCAATCTCCATTTGCACACTGGAAATTTCCCAAACATTTTTCTTCCTTGCAACCGATTTCATCAGAGCCATCCCTACAATCTGCTACCGAATCGCATCTTGAGGACTGATCGATGCAGTAAGCACCATCATGAGTGGTATCATTAACACACTGGAATTGCACCGTTGTGCACTTTGAAAACTGCTGGAATGGCATCATATCATTTACGTTTCCGATATCAACTTTTAAATCTGCCTCAGAGCTAGAATCTTTTTCTGCTACTGGTGTTACAAAAGATGAGACAGGGGATGCTGTGCTGGCAAAGTACTGATCATGCTTATTCTTTTTTTCATGCTCAACTTTTTTAGTTTTCTCACTTAATTTCTTTTTACTGGGAACAGCTGAACTGAAATCATTATCATCAACATTATTTGCATATGAACTATCATCGTCGATTGATTTATTTTTCCCCCAATTTTCAGATGATTTACTTTTGTCAACCGACTCGGATTCATTCGAAGAGTCCTCTCCTTTGGAGGGAACTACTGTTGCGGGATGTTCCTGCTCATCCTCATTGTTTTTCCTCTCACCTTCATCATTTAAAGTTTCTATGCTACTTTTACTTTCCTTACTAACGTAGTCTGCTAGGGTTGAGTTAGAACTAATACTCTCACTATCAAGGTGCTTTAGGTTATTTTCATCAACGCTACTCACTTCTTCGTTAGAGCTGATTTCTCTATTATTTGCAACCTTGGTTGATTTACTTTCTTCAGATAAAGTTTGAAAATTGTTGGAGTCGTCATTATCATTAAAAACGCTACTTCCGTTTAGCAAAGATTTTGTGGTGCTCTCGCCTCCCTCATTTGACTGATCTTCATTTGAAACTGACGATGTTGCTTGATCATTTCTGCTCACGGGTTCATGGCTAGTAGATGTGGAGCTTTCAGCAGTCTTCGGAGCTGAATCATAGTCTGAGGTACTTGAGATTTCTAGAGTGCTACTAGATTTTGTAGAATCAATATCTAACGAGCTGTGAGTTGTTGAGACTTCCGCAGCATCAGATTTTTTCAAATCTGCAGCCCTTACATCTGAAGAAAAGGTAGAGGAGCTGGCCTCCGTTGAAGAGCTCGAACTGACAGAAGTTATTGAAGCAGACTCTACATTTCTCTCAGAGGGGCTTGATTCACTTGACAAAGACTTTTCACTTTGACTTTCAGAGACCTCAAAAGTGTCTGACTCCTTCGACTTAGTAGACTGCATGGAAGTTTCAGAGGTGGCGGATTCTGATTCAACACTACTTGATTCCGTAGAATATTCTTGACTCATCCATTTACTAGATTCATCACTAATCGTTGAGTGATGACTTGCTACGGTTGAGCTGACCGATTTATTTTCATCGGTTACATCTGCGCTTTGAGAGGAGCTCTGAGTAGATGAGGATTGTTCATGAATACTCTCTTCCACTTCAAAAGCATCGACCTTCTTCTCAGAGCTGTGCGACTGTGTTGCTTTCACAGTTGTCGGCTCAACTCCATCATTAGTTTTTTCTTTTGAATCTTCCTCTGTTCCTCTGGTCAATTCGGAACTGAAAGTTGTGACATCCATTTCATCAGCTGCACCACTTACAACTTTACTTAATTCTTCGTCCTTTGATTTTGTACCTGTTAGGTCATGAGGATTCAAATACTCTACATCAGGAGCTGAACCGAAATGAGGATTGCTCTCTTCGGAATTGTGCATACTTCTTGGTTTTGAGAATTCTTCCATACTGGTTAGATGATTATACTTTTCAGCAGTGTGCCCATTTTCAGACAAATGACTCATTCCTCCGAACTGATGGAAAGCATTATTCTCATCTTGTTCTGCTCCATTTGCTTCTAAATGCTCCTCGTCGGTTATACTGGAATCTCCTGGGAACGGGCCGACTAAACCTTTGAAGGAGTTGTGCAAATCAAACTTGTGTTCATCCCCTGATATGATTTCATCATTGATTGAACTTTTCGTGTCAGTTTTGGAAATTTCATCTTCATTAGTGGTAGAGTTTTCGGTGGATTTCATGTTTGAGTTTATCTCTGCTTTGGATTTATCATTCGTATCTTCCTTTGACTCTGAAGATTCGGAACTATGTCCAGAATTGTTTGATGATTCATTGGAGCTTGATTTTGATTCAGAAACTTCTTCTTGAGAGGTATTTTGCTCTGATTCATTTTCCTTTTGCTTCCCAACTACACCTGGTTTAGATTTTAAGACAGAATTTAATACTTCTTCTGCGCTTTTGTCGGAGTCTCCATCAGATTTCGGCTCAGGTTCTGATTTCGGTTCAGGTTCTGATTTCGGTTCAGGTTCTGATTTCGGTTCAGGTTCTGATTTCGGTTCAGGTTCTGATTTCGGTTCAGGTTCTGATTTGGGCTCAGGTTCAGAAGTGGGTTCAGGCTCAGATTTTGGCTCTGGCTCTGACTTAGGCTCGGGCTCAGATTTTGGCTCAGGCTCAGATTTTGGCTCAGGCTCTGACTTGGGCTGAGGCTCGGATTTCGGTTCCGGTTCTGACTTAGGCTCAGGCTCAGATTTTGGCTCCGGCTCTGACTTAGGCTCAGGTTCAGACTTTGGTTCTCCTTGCGGGAGAGATTCTAATTTTGCACTGGGCTCAGGTTCTGATTTTGGCTCAGGTTCTGATTTCGGTTCTGGTTCCGACTCTGAGTCTGAATCAGACTTTGACTCTGACTCAGGTGTGGCTGAATAATGTGAGTGTAGGTCAGAGGAAGATTCAGAATCTGCTTTCGGTTCAGGCTCAGATTTAGGCTCAGGTTCTGATGTTGGTTCTGGCTCAGATTTGGGTTCAGGTTCAGATTTGGGTTCAGGTTCTGATTTGGGCTCAGGCTCAGATTTAGGTTCAGGTTCAGACTTTGGTTCTGAGTCAAAACTAGACTCAGATTCAAAAGATGGATCAGCTTCAAATCTAGAATCCGGCTCTGATGAGGGTTCCGGCTCTGATTTTGACTCAGGTTCAGGTTCAGATGATGGTTCTGGTTCAGATGATGGCTCTGGTTCGGATGATGGTTCTGGTTCAGATGATGGTTCTGGCTCAGATGATGGCTCTGGTTCACTTGCTGGTTCTGCCTCATATGATGATTCTGGTTCTAACTTTGAGCTGATATCATGAGATTCTAGAGGAAAAAAAATAGAAACAAAACGACAAATTAGACTCATGTTTAAAAATGCGTTCCTGATTAACTGAAGAAAAACTTGAATGATGTATCAAATATATAATGGAGATATTACCCCTCATTTTTTAAAGTTTTCCCCCCCTTTCATCTTAAGGAATGTTTGCGCTGAATGAACCATGGGATTTTTACATTGACTTAGGCCTGAACTGGTTTCAAGACTTATTTACCACTGTAGATGTCCCTTTGAAAATTAGCCCGCCTCAGATTGTTTCTTTACTTTCACAAGAATATGTTACAGCACACTTGATAATATTCTCTTAATCATTACTCTCAAATCTTACAAATCTTATGTCATTTTAATGCGCTACTAAAACAATGTATTTATTCCTAGAAAATGACTTTCAAATAAATTGAACGGAAAAAATTGTTGACCCTTCATCTAATGTTTTTTGGATTGAATCTGATTTTAGAAACTAAATAAATGCAAAGAATTGAGGCAGAAAATGTTACTGCGTTATAGTCCTGAAAGAGTCCAAATTATTATGGGTAGTTGAAGAACATGAAACTGAGGTAGAAAGAACATTAAATGGCAGATACTATTCACATTTTAATACTACTTAGGAAATATTTTAAAAATGAGATGAAGGCCAAGTGAAATAAGACAGAATTTTCGGATGATTTGCAATCAACTTTAAAATTATGAAGCTCTAAGTATTGATAAAAATTAAGGAAAGAAAGCAAGATGAATTTTACTATAAGCAACTTACAACGAGGTTACATTTGATACACCATGTGTTTTTTTAAATCTTAATATTTTTGATTTTTTTTTTTTCAAATCTTACTTACAATTATATTTTTAAATGTATGTTTTTCTTTCTCTTACTAGGCAGATAAATTTAAACAAACTTAAAGCTGTGAGACGGAACGTCAAAGTTGATTAAGATTAAAGTAGCTCACAAAGTTTTTCTAAAGTCAATTGCAAGAATTCTGTTTGGACCAAAAAATCAATTGATCCATTTATTAAGTACTCAATTCTTAAATTATGCTGTTCAATATGAAACAAAAAAATCATTTTGTAAATTTCTTGATGAAATACTGTGACGTTATCCAAGGCAACAGAAATGAATTGACTTACCCATAGGAATGCAGGTTTTTCCATTAATAAGTTTCAAACTGGCAGGGCACAAACACATGAAATTCAGAGACTCATAATCAAATTGGCAAGTGTGAGAGCAGTTAGCCTTGTTGAACAGACACAGATCGACAATCGCTGGAAGAGTAGAAAGAATAATAGAATAATTTGTTACATACCTACAATAAATGTGTAGTTCTGTAAAACGATTAAAAAGTTTTAGACGATTCAACAAAAGTGGCAGGATTTCACTTAAAATTTTAAGCCTACAAGAAAAGAAAGGCTACAAACTTGTTTAAATTTCCATGATAGCCATCAATTGTCAGAAGTTTAAAGTTATAAAACAACCCTGTTCAAACCGCTCTTAATGAATAATTATAAAATGGATCATAAAATTTGTGATGGTCTGTATTTATTTTAAAGCTGAGTAATGCGAAGTATTTTACTGAGATAATTTTTTTAGGTTTACTAATTAGAAGTTACCTACTTTGAGGTGACAATTGCTGTCCTGAAAAGTAGGTTTTTAGGAGAAGGTGATGTAATTTATAGTTCTTCAGCTGCAGTTTGCGGGGACTTCTTTGAATTAAGTTAGACCAAAATATTCCTTTCACTGTCCTTATAGATGAGGTTCTGTTAATTAAATTTTTCTTTTCTAGATGATAATATGAGGTATAGAATGTGGTACACAGGTGAGTGAATAGAAAGTGGAAAGATTGATTCAAACAAACTTACCCTCAGATTTCAATTTTGAAGTGGGTACGCTGTAGTTGTATAAATGTCCATTGTTTCGTCTTAAGTATTCAGACAGCTGATCTTTTAGTTTTTCTTGAGTCATAGGATCTGGTGGATTCCTAATTCCATCTTTGTGGACCCAACCAATTCGGTATTTTACGACAACACTACCTTGCCTAATACACAAAAAATTGTCACCTTAAGTAATCATGGCGTGAGATGTAAATCAGGAATATACAGAAGTTTTCAAAAAATACATTGACTAGTTTTTCAAAGTAAAAATGAAGTACAGCAGAGGGTCTGCAATGTCTCGGTCAGAGATACATGGTTTCCCTCTTTGACCGTGGATATGCTTTCATTTCCATCACTAGAAGCCCTATTAAAGGAAATACAAAAAGAGGTGCCCAAATTTTGAACGCAACTATACAACTCCTTTCCTCTCCCCATATATTATCCACCTACTACTTGATTTTTCCTCATCGAAATTGCCTTCCAAACGTTTTTGTTGCAAAAACTTTTGGAGCAGGTCCTTGTATATAACATCTAAGACAAATTGATACTTCAGTTTTCTCCATGTGGCTGAAAAAAACTATTTGGATTTTTTTTTCCTGAAATTTTTTTCTGTAGTTCTCCAGTGAAGATACAATGATTGGGCTGCCTATTTGATCCTTAAGTTGATTTGATTCAAAGCAGGCTCCACTTTTTTTGGAGTAATTGTAGATTTTCTGCGATCAGCACACTCAAAATAATACGACACAGTACTTACGAAAATTCGATAACTTTCACGGTGATGTTTGAAGATCCATAATTGAGCATGGCAGAATTGAACAGCACTTTTTTCAACTGAAACAAAATCATTACGTCATTAAATTAAAAAGAAAATACGTTTAGAGTAAAGAGTAAAGTACACTGCATATCTGTCTCTTGGTTGTTATGCAGTCCTACCACCAAAGAATACTCGTGCCTGGCAAGTGGGGTAGCTAAAGTGTTACGACAAAATTTAACCTGTGATGCTATGTTTTTGCTATGTTTGGCTCTGACAAGGGGGCTAGGTGATCTCTCAGACCCACATAACGTATTTTAAGTTTGTACACCCAAACTTCATTGTGGACGCGTCAGAAAACTCTGTCTCATGTACTTTTCTGAGAGAGAAATTCATGTGACTTTTAGTAATTCTATAATTTTTCTACGATTATCTAAGCCTCACTCATTTTTTGAACCAATAAAGGGTTGACATTAGCTACGTTAAAAAGAAATACAGACCTCTCCTTCTAGAGATGTCGCCAAAGATTTAAAGTCTTCTGATTCAGGATCAGCAAGAGCAGAGGAAAACTTAATGTTTTCAATGGTGAGTTCTCCTTGAATTGCCCGTTTCACTGGAAAAAAAAGGAGACACAGAATGGTTAAAAGTCTATGTATTGAAAATATAGCGGCAAGGAAGGAATGGTATTCAGGATGAAATTTAGACAGGACGTTACTGATACAATACTACTTATTTTTCGACCAGCGACAACATATGTTTCAAAGTTCTCTTTCAAAATTGGCGAGTATTAATTTGAGGCTACTCTGACTTAAAATGTGAGTTTGCTAACATATGTGTACTACGAAATTCATGAGAAGGCTCATGTGTATGGTTAAGATACTATCAGAATTATTACGCATTAGCATTCCTACTGAAGTTAAGTACCATGGGTACCTTACCATGGAAAAGTATCATATACTAGATGATGCTTCATAAACTCTTGTCATATACTTGCTGATGGTTGCACAGTTCTCCTCAATAAACAGGCAACTCAAATTCCAGCAAAGTGGCAGAGAGCAGAGGTGACTAAAAATTCATTAATTTTGGATGCTGAAGTTTTCTTTTGCTGCGTTTTATATCAAAGCAGGATAATTTCAGTATTGGTACCAGACCCATTAAAATTGGATCCCTTCATTTATAACGCATTTAGGCAAGCTTTTGAAAAATTATGTACACTTACAAATTAAAAAACTGAGGACTTACAAGCTAAATTGATGATGAAGAAGAGTTTTGACATTACCACCTAAACCCAGGGCTAATCATTTTCATACAACATCGCGAGTTTAAAATTTCATAACAGCTCGAACAATGACGAAGAAAGATAGGAGAACATAACGATATTTTCCAGACCGAGATCTGCTGACGTAAAATTACTTTAATTAGAATCGTATCGCAGCTAGTAGAACTTTCACTCGACTCGAGGAAAATGCAGAGCTGGATGTAAACAAACATTTTCCCGCTCATGTTGAGGTTATGAATGAAATTGGGAATGTTGATTGGATATTGCTCACACCTGAGTAACCAATGAGCGAGAACTAACTTTGAAAACTTGGCACGAGATTCAATTTGACGCACACGTGCTCCACGTCCGTCTTTTAATAGAAAAAAGGGTTGAGACTTGAGACCAGGATGATAATGATCCAAGACGGTCAGTTTCCATCCAATGAGTCGAAAAAACAGGGATTAAACTACTTCATGAATTTTCATTTCGCTATGAGACTCGTGCATGAGATCGAGATTCCCTGATTCTTCGCTGCATATCGATAGCGACACTATGGATAGCTGCGGAAGAGCGCCGTAAGACCATTAGAAAGTTGCCACATTTCTTCCTATAAAACGTTTATTTTTTAGGAAAGTGATGAATACTTTCCCTTGAAATTTTCAGGCATTTTAGGTGGAATTGCGTACAAAATAATCTAAAAAACGAAAGGTAAATATTCATAAATTTATCAGAAAAATCGTGTTCTATCAAAGGAAATTTGGCAACGCTAGAAGGTTCATACAGCGTTTTTCCTTAGCACGGCAGCATAGTGCGAAACCTCGTACTTCCCCTCAGGATTCCTATCCTACTCCGTTTTTTCTTTGGAAAATAATTCAACGTAATTTCTTTTTAAAAAAACCCTTGATTCTTCTTCGCAAAGAATTCAAATTCATTCATTATACTCAAGTTAAAGTTGCCTTGTTTCTCTTCCATAAAATATAGTAGGAGCGTAAATTTTGAAACATCGCAATGGAGAGACACGGTGTCGCATTTTGGCCATAGATATTATTCTTATACATGACCCTAAGTTTTTTTGTTTTTTTTTTTGAGAGCTTGCGCACTCTAGGTATAGTTCATTGGCCTTAGTCGTGTAGACAAACAGCCACCGCTAAATGATGGGAAGATTACAACAACAGTAGAAACAGAAGTACAAAGGAAGAAACGAAGAGAAACATCCATGCCACTCCACGGTGACAAGATCTGAGACCATCAAATCTTGCCACCGAGGCCGGGATTCGAACCCGGGACATCTAGGTCTGTGATCAGTTGCGCTAACCACTGGACCAACCGATGTCGGCTGACCCTAAGTTTCTAAACCGATTAGGGTGACCGGTTCCACTCGAAAAATAAACTGGGGAATAAAATTCGGGAATTTTTGGTATTGACGGACTTTTTTATTTCTTTTTTCGGACGGAGACAATCCCCCCCCCCCTTTTAAATTTATCCATCTGACGAAGGTTTTTCACTACCGCATCGCATATTTTTTGTAATTTTTCTTTGATAGCAATTAGCAAATCTACAACATTATGAACAACATTCCAACTGCTCGGAGGAGTTTGACAGAGCATGTAAATGAAATCATACCGTGTCGACCGGTCATATCTGTTGTGGGTGGAGGGGGTAGCATCGTTGAAGAAGGCGAGGGCGTTGGTGGATACATTTTCCCGCCGATTCCGAGCCCACCGACTCCGGCACCCAGCGTTTTCTCTCTCTCTCCTATACTCCTGCTCTCGATTGGTGGCATACCATTCTGCATGAATATAACTAGAGCTGAAATCAGAGAGAAACATTTCATGAGATCAATAATCAGTCTGAAATTGAATAATGGAGAATTTGCACGCAAATTTTTTATAACTTCACACTGGAAAAAAAAACACATTGAATCTAGAGTCCAGACTCGTGAAAACATGGACAAGAAAAAATACTCTTGATTCAATCAGATTTAAGCTTAAATCAAAAGGAAATCCGCTCAAATTAAGAGGCTTGGTTCTTGATTTAAGCTTGAATCCGATTGAATCAAGAGTGTTTTTTCTTGTCGATGTTTTTAAGAGTCCGGACTCTAGATCCAATTCGTTTTTTTTTTCCAGTAAGAGTTCAAAAAACTGATTCCGCAGTATTTTTTACAATTTTTTTCTGATATCGGCGAACATATAAAAATAGATTTAAAAATGAGAAGATGCACCCGCCTGGTGACGTCATCTGGTGGCATTTCCCATTAAAACACATGTATTTTAGCAGATTAGGTTATTTTGTCATATCTCCTCCAATAATTGTCCAATTTATGAACCACAGATATCCTAGCGATCAGTTCACTCAATAGTATCCATATAAACACGAAATTCATCGAATTTCAGACACCTGCAAATTCTCCATTACATGGGTTTTGAACAAGTTGGATGATACTGCGGGCTCTGAAGACTCGCACTTGAGAGGTAAGATTGATTTGCATTCAACGGAAAACAGACCATGACGTAAGCAACCGAGGCAATCACTGACACAAACGCTGCCATGACGTATATCACAATGTTTTTATCTTGCATTGATGTATTTTTGCTGCTACTAAGCTTAGTGATTCGGAATATCGGCCGAGTATATTCATTACTTTTTACTATCCTGTAAGATTTGACCATCGAGACATCACTGGATCACTGGATACCTCATTTCGACTAACTTTACCATTAGGGAACCTCTATTTCGGGCTCATTCGTAAAAGCGCCTATCTGTGTGGAGAAAGTAATGGCATGTCCGTTGTTTCTAAAATAAGCCAGGAATCCTGTCCCTCAATGCAAAATAAAATCCATTTCAAGCTTGATTAAAAATGACCCACGCTTCAGTATCCTCTCTACTCGCCGAATGGATCCGATTCTTATTCTAGAGTGCTCTGACGAAGAAATGAAGTTCGTTCTCCAACGGAGGTCCTACTAAATTCGGCGCACAATGGAGCGGTTTAATGGAGAATGTCGCACATGATTCGGAAACTTTAAAAACTTATATCTTTATTAATACGAGATATGAAAGTTTAGAAAGTGGTTCCATTTGTTTCCTCGTAAAAATTCCTTCAGTACGCATTTCTTAAAATTTGTCATGTGACGAAAAGAAAATAAAATTTTGCAGATTTATTCAAAAATTTCATGCCCGACCTCTCCTGATTATTCGTCCCGCTGTGCGGCGCCAAAGGTTTTGCTCGTACGGATTTCGCTCACGTTTCGCGCTTCAAATTCGCGAGCGGCCACGACCGGAACAAATATTTTGAAACACGATCTCAGTTTTGACCCGCGTAAATTCGGTTCGATCGACTCCGTGACCGAATTACTGATCGCGAGGAAAGGTCGGAAGTTGATGCTTCATCATGGCCGACAAGTCCGCTACTTTCTCGCATGCTTTTCATCCTGGATCAAGTCGAAGCTAGTTTAAACACCTCGGTGGTGTAGCCGGCAATTTCTCGCTGGAAGGAGAGTGGTTAAGGGTAAGAAAGTCCTAAAAATCGCGAAAAAAACGAGCAGGGCCGGATTAAGGGGGTGGCCACGTCGGTCGCGGCCCATGGCGGCAAATTAGGGGGCGGCAAATTTCGCAATTTTATTAAATGTAAGTATAAAAAAATCGGATTCAGAAAAAAAAATTATCGATAAGAAAAGGAAACAAAATCTCTTTTTCCTGAGAGTATAGTACTTTCTAATTTTGTCGTTTTTCGGTGATACAAGAGACAGTATCTTTAATTAGTCGAGTTTCGAGAGGAACTAAACACGCAATTTGGCCTGGAGCTCAGCGCAGAGAGGAATGATGACGAGGACTTGAGATGAAAAGGACAAGCCCTCGGCGCGGCGGTCGGCATGACACACATATTAGCGCCTACGAGACTGCATGAATACTTCACGCATCGCGTCAAACATAGTGCGGTCAATAGCGGTTGGCGTGGAACGCATAGCGCCTGCAAGACTGCAGGAATACTTCACGCATTGCGCCAAACACAGTGCGATCAGCGCGGTGCAGCGGCGGCGGAAGTTAGAATTATTAAACCACATTTATGTTTGTTCTTGCAAGTTGTGTGCTCTGTTGAAGTGCAAGAGGGCCCTTGAGCCCGATGCGCGCGGTTCAACTTTGTATTCAACTTTTCTTCCAACTTAATGTATGACAATTTTTACTGTGTCATGCATATGCAAAAAATTTCTATTCAAGCGAGTTGGAGGAAAAGTTACATAAAAAATTGAACCGTGTGCATCGGAAATCGCCCTAAACGGCGAGTTGTCTCCAATTTTTTGATTATGTTAATGACAGAAATGAAATACTATAATAAAAAGTTCAGTTTTGAAACAACGAGGAAAATAAAAGAAAGCCGTGCTATTGTGCGGGTGTGACTCAATCGATGAACTGAACACTGCCTGGGATATTGAATTTAAGTTTGAAAATAACTTATACTGCAGACGATAAATCGATTTATCAGACTATAGATGCATACTTACATACTTATGACTATCATCCTCAATATATACGGCTAAACGAGAAAAATTCAGAATATTCTATCTTATTATTGTAAATGCAATTTTTTTCGTTTTCAAGGTAGGTATCATGACAAATTTTCAGTCCAAATTTGGGCGGCTGTACCAAGGAAGTTGAAAAGATATGCTTCCTTCTTTAGCGATAGTGTAAAAGTTCAGTGGCGTGGCGTGCTTTTCGATATTTTAATTGATCTGTCATTTAAACGTAAGGGAAAGGATCGATAAACAGGGTGTTCGCAACGAACACCTTGATAATCGATTTTTCACTACAACCTCAAATGGGGAAAATCGATAATAATCGATCACTAACGCCACGCCACTGTAAAAGTTGTCGATATATATCTAGCAGTAAAAACTGAAGCATCCGCTCGATTAAATTAGCTCTCGGCAGATTGACAACCAAAACGAGGCTTCCGTTATCAAACGTGTGTTTTTACGCTGCACAGCTCATAAAACAGAGGCATTAAATTTTAATTAGGACTATGTCTATTGGCGCCGATATTATGTTTTTCTTTAATTGAAAATCCCGAATATAAGTCAATGTCGATTCAAGTCTGTTTCTGGAGGTCCTCTTAAATCTGAATTAAAGCACACGTTCTTAATAAACCGGTCCTTTTAAACATCCATCTCTCTTCCTTTCCTAATGTTTGATAGCTTCTCCTTTCTTTTTCACTCTATGTATCTGAAGTCGCAGTCATGGCTCCAGGCCGAGGATTTGAAAAGGGTGACCCGAAAATCCCGGAATAAGTATACCAAGATCCTCTTGTCCACAGATTTTATTTTAACCATGGAAAAATTCCGGCAAACACTAAACGAATTTCATTACAACGCCTAGATGCAACTATTCAGGCGCTATGGATGTCCGTGTTGCATACGTGCTATATTGAAGGCGTTTCAACTCAGCAGGCACTCACCGCTTCACCCACGGCGCAACAGCGGTTGGCTATGCATATGAGGATCAAAAATGATGATGCAGATCATAATGCACGTGAATAGCATCCCTTCAAATAATGCTCAACATATGGCAAAATCAAAACTGAAGCACAAAAGATATTCACACCTGATGCATGTATGGGACTACTCGTGCCTAGGGGATATCTACGCAGTATAAGCGAATAATTGAAGGCGTTCTGTTAATTTCGATCCTCACAGTGCAACTGTGCAACCCGCCATCACGGCGGCCCGCACGAAGCGGTGAATGCCTCAAAAGTCAAAACGCCTTCACACTCGTGCGTATGCACGAAATGAAAAAGTATTGTTACAGTTCAATCAGATTTCTAACATAGATGTACTTTTTCTTGTCTCTTTTTCTAAAACATTTGCGCAGACGACTTCCTGCCTTCACCACCTCAAAAGCGCAAATCTTCATTTAAGCTTTTGCGGGGTGTGCACTTTTGGACCTTTACCTCTTCTTTGAGGAGCCATCATCAATTCTTTAAGAGAGATTTTAGACTGTACCCTGTTCAGATACAATTATCTGCTTCTTGTTGAACAATTTTCAAGGAAAAAATCATTGGGACGTAAATAGGTTCCTACTCTGAATCATGAGCATCCTTATTTAGAAAATAACAACAATTTTACATTAATGTGATCATAAAACATATGTTCATCATTATTTTACAACAGTCGAATCTTCCCGGCCGACGGACCAAAATGAAAACCGAGATCAAATCTGTACACCATCAGCCACCCACCTGCAGTTGTTCCAGCCGCAACATTTGCTCCATAAATTAACGATTAATCCCATTGTCAGACAAATGTGTTTGAGCAATCCGTACTAGACACAAACTACAAATATTCGGAGGAGGTAAGCACACGGTAACATGTCCACCCACGCCTTTGGCATAATCCCAAATAGTGCTCATAATGCCTGCCCACGTCCAACTTTGGTTAGCGTACCTCGCTACAGTTACAGCCTCGGCTTCCACTCTTTCCACACCTACAACGTTCCATTGTCCGCGGTTACCTGTCGATGAACTGACCTTGCTCGCCTTGTACAAACCTAGCCCTTGCTGGTTTGCAATCTGATCCTCCACATTGAGGAAAGGGAAAAAGTCAGTGTTGCACTCTGCCGTGCTAAAGAAAAACGCCGTATGAACCTTCAGGCGTTGCCAAATTTCCTTTGACATAACATGAATTTACTGGTAAAATTATGAATATTTTCCTCCCAATTTTTCGGATAATTTAGTTCGCAATTTTGCCTGAAGATTCTGAGAAATTAAAGGAAAAATATTCATAACTTTCCTAAAAAATGAACATTTAATCGAGGGAAATTCGGCAACGCTCGAATGTTCATACAGCGTTCTTCCTTGGCACTGCAGTACTGACAGAGAGGAGACTGCTGATACTAAGCAAGCTAACGCAGTTGGTGTTGTACATGAACCAAATTTTGTGCACACAATTAAATTGGCACTACAAACCATTTAAATTGGTGTGTGCGTACCAAATTTCATGGATGGCACGGCGATAGTTAATGTACATCACCTACCTGATGGATCAGTTGCGCTAGTCAGAGAATCGGGTTTTGATGCTTGATTCTTGTAGATTAACTAAAAATACTAATATCTGTTAAAACAACAACTTTCTTCGTTTAATATTAACCAAGATATCGCCCTTTGAAAATTCGGGTTTTTGACGTCATCCACGTCGGTGGTGATACCCTTGATTTCTTCCACCTTGCTTTATTCGTCAGTCGGTGCACTATGGTCTGGGGGCGCCGAATTGTGGCCATAAATCAGGAGATGATCAGAATATCATGAAATTTGGTGTACTTATGTTTTTTGGGTCGCTGAATTCAAATTTGACCTTAGTTTTACAAAATTCTTAAATCCAAGATGGCGGCAGGCCCTTGAAACCAAAAAATTAGAAGAAAAGCCAAAATATGATTAGAATACCAAATTGAATGTCAGTTTAATGTTTTGAAAGTTGTCTCACTATAATATGAAATCTATTTTTCAATGATCAAGAGATTATCAGGGCAGAAGCCCCAAAAATATTACGTATTTAATCCAGAAAAATAAGAGGAGAAGAAATGATTGAAATTGAATCAAGTCAGTACTATGTTTTTCGGTCTATTGATCCTGACTGGAGCGTAAGTTAAAAAAATTGCACATTCAATATGGTGATATTCGTGTTAGCAAGACATATGGCATTAGCCCTTTAGGGCGCCCCCTCCCCGAACCAAAAATTGTCCCTAAAAATTTTCATTTCTAGCGATTTTTTAAAAATAATTTACTCTTTGATCATCAAACCCTGCTAGCAAAATTTTCTAGATATACTCAACACTAGTTAGACCTAAATAGCTTTGACATTCTTATACTCATTGGAGGCTTTCAACCATTCTGCGCTGATTTTCATGGTTAGAATTATTATAAAGATTCTAGGCCTAATGAATCGTGGCCAAAAATCCGATTTTTGAAAGTGCGAAAATCTGGCAATCAAGCATATAATCCTTATCTACATCCTTTAGTAGGTGTGAAATGACCTATCAAATCTTATGTAATTGTTTTTACGATCAGATATATGGTGGCGAACTTCACATCCTCCGAGGTAAGTAAAGAAACGTGAGGATTTAAAGTGCACGTCATCGTGTATTGCCTTGTGTCGTTTTGTGATAAGTTGACGTAAATCCCCGATCAAATATGGACAAGAAAGGTGAAAGTAAGTACTTTTTGATGGTTTAATCGTTTTTAGTATTAAGATGAATTTTATGACCACCATGAGACTCCAAAGTTTTGTCCTAATTTAGGCAAAAAATTGCCTTCAACTTAAGTTTTAGTTATCACTAACACGAGCTAACACGTTCTTATCAGTGCAAGAATGTAGCTCATATGTTCCTCTAACAGGATATCATAGGTTTTTTTGCATCTTTTTGCCTCTGGGGCCTTCAGACCCAGACCCAGATCAGACCCTAAAACCTTGCGGATTACCATTCTCGGGTTGCCTAGCCAGGAATTGAACTCGGAACCTCTTGATCTTAAAGCCAGCACTCCAACCACTACGCACCACAGCGGGCCGAGTTAATAAATTTGTATTATGTATACAGGCTGAAGAATAAAAAAAAAATACCTAAGTTTTATCCACCATTTGTCGTTTTTCCGGAGAAAAAATTATTTTGCTTAAAAATGAGGTTTTTTGCAAAAAAACTTTATTTTCCGGAAATCTGGCAAGTGCTGGAAAAAAACTGATATCATTTTCAGATTCAGCAGCCAAAAATACATATGAATCACCGTATATCAAACGTTGACCTTGTCTCATCTCTCTTATTTCCTTCTGCAATGAAATCAGATTGCGCAGAAAATCGTATAAGTCCTTCACTAACATGACCAAAAAAGGACCCAGAGGCAAAAAGCGGCAAAAAGCGGCAAAAAAACCGATGATATCCTGTTAGAGGAACATATGAGCTACATTCTTACACTGATAAGAACGTGTTAGCTCGTGTTAGTGGTAACTAAAACTTAAGATGAAGGCAATTTTTTGCCTAAATCAGGACAAAACTTTGGAGTCTCGAGTCTCATGGTGGTCATAAAATTCATCTTAATACTAAAAACGATTAAACCATCAAAAAGTACTTACTTTCACCTTTCTTGTCCATATTTGATCGGGGATTTACGTCAACTTATCACAAAACGACACAAGGCAATACACGATGACGTGCACTTTAAATTCTCACGTTTGTTTACTTACCTCGGAGGATGTGAAGTTCGCCACCATGTATCTGATCGTAAAAACAATTACAGAAGATTTGATGGGTCATTTCACACCTACTAAAGGATGTAGATAAGGATTATATGCTCGATTGCCAGATTTTCGTACTTTCAAAAATCGGATTTTTGGCCACAATTCGGCGCCCTCAGACCATAGTGCGGTGTGACGCACTCGTTATTCAACGTGAAACTTGGATGAAAGCAAGGTGGAAGAAACCAAGGGTGTCACTACCGCGGTAAAAATGACATCAGAACCCCGACTTTTCAAAGGGCGATATCTCGCTTGCTGTTGAACATAGAAAGTTGCTCTTTGGACAAATCTTATTAATTTTAGCTAATCTAGAGAGATCAAGCATCAAAACACGCAAGACGCATTTACTCGTGTTGGATACATTTTTTGCGAAAGCCCTGTCAACACTACTAGCAGAATTTCACGGAACTTTGTGCGAAAGTTAAATTCCGTAAACCTATCTCTATGTTGACAAGGCCTTCCATTTATAAGAAATGAACGAAAAAATTATCAAAGAACAAACCTAAATGTGGTCTAACTTCCGCCACCGCGCCGCGCTGACCGCACTGTGTTTGGCGCAATGCGTGAAGTATGCCTACAGTCTTGTTAGCGCTATGCGTTTCACGCCGACCGCTGCTGAACGCTCTGTGTTTGAGACGCAATGCGTGAAGTATTCACGCAGTCTTGTAGGCGCTATGCGTTTCACGCCGACCGCTGCTGACCGCACTGTGTTTGACGCGATGCGTGAGGTATTCATGTAGTCCTGTAGGCGCTATGTGTTACATGCCAACGCGTCGAGGGCTTCTCCTTTTCATTTCAAGTCCAATCTGAGTCCATCTGAATCCAATTTTTTTTTACACCTCCATTTAAAAAAATTGCAAAATTTGCCGCCCCCTAAATCCGGCCCTGCTGAGTACAACACCTATGTACGGTATTCCAACTGCCAACTGGGTTGTCTCACTCAAAATCAGCAGTCGTTTTGGGTACAACACCAGTCTCTCCCTAAGGGTTACTTAGTTTGCATTCAGTTATTGAGACATTGATTATTGCCCTATTATTAAAAATAATATTATTATGTGTTTGCAATGTTTCCTAGGAACGAAGGATATCGATAAATATCTGATGACATATATCCTAAAATTTTAGAACAAAAGAGCAAAATAACTTACTTGAAGCGATTACTGCAGAAACTAGAAGAATCACGATCACAGTCCAGCAGCATATTTTCTTTCTCGGCCTGTTCATTTCTCGCTTATCTTTAGTTACGTATAATTTCTCACCCCTGCAACAACGATTAACACAGAATGAGTTACACAGACATTGGGATAATATTTTATACACGAGTTGAAAATTGTTTAGCAAATGCGACATCTTCAGCCAGCTGTTGCGCTAGTCACAAAGCGTGTCGTGAAATAGAATTGGGCGTGAAAACATGGCTGACTGATAATAATTGTGTCTTTATGTACAAAATGATGTAATTCTCGACAAATAGTTAGCAAATGTCATTTTTTTTGGCGCCCAGGACACTTTTTGAGAGATGAATGGTCGAGCAAACTCACACGATAATTCCATTTTCATTTTCTTTATTTTTTCATTATTTTCTAAAATAAATTAAGAAACCACACAAACACATTAAAAAACTAAATTTTTCAAAAATAATGAATGATGAATTTATTCACATGTAACAAGGTGGTAAACTAGTGCTGGGTCCGGCCCACACTATTTTGGGGAAAAGCAAGGCCAAAAAGTTCAAATATTTCAATTAGAGTAACAAATCTGAGCTTTACTTTTACCACCTTGATACATAAAGTTCGGGCCACTTTTTTTCGTGCTTTTTTCTTGACTGTTCAGATTGCGGACTGCATTTTGCAATTTGGACCTATAAATTCTGCCTCATTTGAAAAAACACTTATGTGCATAGGGAAACTAATGGCACATACGTTGTTTTTAGACCGGGCCGGAATTTATAGTTCCTAATTGCAAAATGTAGAATATTTATGTACAAAAGTACGTACTTTACCACACAAAAATCAGCAAATTCAATTTCTTGCACCAGGAAACATTTTGTGAGAATGACTGGCATGGCAAAATCACGCGACTCTAATTCTAATTCTGACTCTAAGTATCTTCATTATTTCAATTTTTCGGCAGATTCCAACTATTCCGTCTTTTTTCTTCTATCCTAAATCTCCCAGGAACTAAAATATGCCGTGGAGTCAACGGCGAAGACAGGACGTGGGAACCGAGGAAAATGAGTGAATTCGTCGCTTCTCTAAAGTAAGGGCGTATCTGTATTTCCATTTGAGCCCCGGAAAGCATAGATTTATACGAAAGACAGAGCTCAGGCGGAAATCGATATACGCCCTTTTGTCAGAAGCGAGACGAATTCAGCGCGAGGAGTGGGACGCGATTGCGGCTGCGGGGGTCCGCGAGCGGGGCCTGCTAGAATTTTAATCCTCCGTAATTAATTACAATTAGGATCGGAGGTGTCAGCTTGACCCCGACGAGGGTGTGTTCCGATAATGAAAGCCAATTAATTATCCTTGCGAGTTTTTTCATTTACCCGGCCCGGCTATTATTCGTCGGGACGGATAAACCACCGCGGTCGTCAAACCTCGGGAAAATCTTCCGCTCCGCTAGAAGGAAAAACGCCGCATGAACCTCCCGAATGTTGCCAGATTCGGGATGTTTACTAAAATTTAATTTCGGGGTTTCCTGATATTTTCCTGATGTTTTGCACGGATGAATTGACACTCGTTTAATTGGAACATATTTAATGAAATGAATCAAAAGTTTGGATAATGCTTGAAGCATTCAGAATTTCCTGACATTTTCCTGATCTTTCCTGATATTTTGCACGAATAAACTGACACTCCTTTGATTGGAAAATATCAAATGAAATGAATCAAAAGTTTGGATAGTGCTTGAAGCATTCAGAATTTCCTGAAATTTTTCTGATATTTTGCACGAATAAATTGAAACTCGTTTGATTGGACAATATTAAATGAAATGAATCAAAAGTTTGGATAGTGCTTGAAGCATTCAGAATTTCCTGACATTTTCCTGATTTTTCCTGATATTTTGCACGAATGAATTGACACTCGTTTGAATGGAAAATATTAAATGAAATGAATTAAAAGTTTGGATAATGCTTGAAGCATTCGGAATTTCCTGATCCATCACCGATTTTCCTGAAATTCTCCTGATTTTTCTTGATAAAATCGAACTTCCTGACATTTTCTGGTCTTCATTGACGGTAGACACCCGGCAAACTTTGATGAATCACAAATTTTCACAGAAAGTATGGATATAATGCTTGAAGCATTCGGAATTTCCTGATATTTTCCTGATGTTTTGCACGAATAAATTGACACTCGTTTGATTGGAAAATATAAAATGAAATGAATCAAAAGTTTGGATAGTACTTTAAGCACTCAGAATTTCCTGATCCATCACCGATTTTCCTGATATTCTCCTGCTTTTTCTCGATAAAATCGAACCTCCTGACATTTTCTGGTCTTTACTGACAGTAGACACCCTGCAAAACTTTGATGAGTCACAGATTTTCCTGGCCATTTGTGAATACGTACTTTACCTCCAATTCCTCAGAGTTTACTCGCAATTTGATCCAAATGATCTGAAGCTAGCTTCGGGAGCGTTCATAAATTACGTAATTATCAAGGGAGAGAGTAGGTAAGGGCCTGCGCTAAAAAAGGGAGGGGGGCAGTTCCAGCGTTATGCAACCTTCTTTAGTGGTAAAAATACACACAATCCAAAATTGGGTCGACAATCCCTAGTATCGTTGAAGAATCTGCACCAAACAAGAGGCGGATTCAGCAGTGGCGAGGTGTGATATTCGACTATCGATATTTTCCCATTATAAGCTATACTAAAGAATCAATTATTACGGTATTCGTTGCGAACGCCCTGTAAATCGATCCTTTTCCGTAGGTTTCAGTGGCAGATTCATCGATTCATCGCAAAACACGCCACGCGGTTGTGGATTATCTATAAGGAGCTTACAATACTTTGGAGACTTTAACGCACGGTTAGGAAAGTGAGCGTATTTTACCATCGCTAAGGGAGCGTTCATAAATTACGAAACCCTCCAGAGGGAGGGGGGAGGGGTTGAGCTTACGTTACGCTACGTTACAAGAGGGGAAGGAGCAGTGCTAGTATTACAGATCCCTCTCTAATGGTAAGAAACACACAAAATCCAAAGTGTGTCATCCTCATTTCTTCGATGTTATTTTTGTCATAGGTACATACTTAATAAAGATACGTCAAATTTTATCCAGTTACATATTCAAAAGTTTCCCTCAATTTTTGAGATCTTCAGGGAAGGGGGGTCCGTCTAGCGTTATGTAATTATTTCAGAGGACCGTTACAAGTTGCGTTACGAAGCGCTAAAAAGGGGGGGGGACGGAGGAGGGTTCAAAAAACCGGAAAAAGGCGTGCACTAAAAAAAAAAGTTCGGTCGTATATACCGAAGTTCGGAGTTCCATATCATCCCAACTAATTCGGTTTGTCAAACTTAATTTTCGGTCCATCAAACCGAACTTTCGGTTCGTGTGACCGAACTTGTGCGGTAAAGTGAACTGACGAACAAAGTTCGGTCGTATATGCCGAACGTTCGGTTACACGAATCGGAAGTTCAGTTTGACAAACCGAATATTTGGGATGATACGGAACACCGAACGTTCAGTTTATGTGACCGAATTTATTTTTCCAGAGTGAAGTAATTTATGAACGTTCCCTTTCGAGAAAGTACAATCATGATTTTCCTCAAAAATTCGTGCTTTATCGGGGGAAATTTGGCAACATTCTAATGATCATACGGCGTTTCTTCTCAGCACGGCAGTCCACGCGCGTGGATTCGAACGACTGAATTATTAACCAGCTCCGTGGATCGCGATTGGTATTCAAAAATCGCGGGCCTTTGTTTCCCGCCATCGCATCGGGCACCCCGATGGACCAGAATCGATAGGTTCGAATACAAAACCGCGCAAGCGTCATAGATACTCCTGAGAAAATACGTTGTTTTCCCGAACGGACCGCTGAATTTATGGCGCGTCTGCGTGAATCCTTCAATCAAACCGAGACTGATGGCGGGCATTCTTGAGCTGTGAGTCGCGGCTCGACATTTTCCGAGAAGACGCGGCGGTTGATCGCGCGACGTTGCCATAATTGTCATCCTTTCGGTAGGTTTTTTCTCTTTTGTCTTCGCTAGTCTATGCCGAGAAATATGGCAACATTAATGGCCCCCTCCTGAGCGGTGCCCCAGCCCCGAAAGCAGGGAATTTGTATGTTGTTCATAGAAACAAGATCTGCATACTATGATGAGGTTCATTCATGATCTTGACGCGGGAAGTCTCAAAAGGAACCATGCGAGTTGTAGGTATTTCACACGGTTGAACTGGACTACATTTGGCAATAATTAGGAACTACAATTTCTGGCCCATCCGTAAAAACACTTATGTGAACAGGGATACTAATGGTATTTACGTTTATTCCGAAGTGAGGTAGAGATTGTAGTTATTGATTGCAAAATGGAGTCCAATTCTGCCGTGCTAAGGAAGAACGCCGTATGAACATTCGAGAGTTGCCAAATTTCCCTTGATAAAACATGTATTTTCGAAAACGTTCATGTATATTTTTCCTTGAAAAGTTCAGATATTTTAGATTAAATTGCGTATAAAATCGTCTGAAAATTTTGGAAAGTAGTATCCGCAATTTTCCCAGTGAATTTGGTTTTCATCTGAGGAAACTTGGCAACGTCTGAAGGTTTATACGACGTTCTTCCTTAGCACGGCAGAATTGCTCAGCCTCTATTTGGACCGTGTTTAACAGAAAGGAACCAAGTCACATCAGCTTTCGCAAAATTTAACTGGGCAATATCACTTTTCTGGTGATCGCGCTATGGAGAAAATTCACTGAAATTTCCACAAAAATCCGCACGGCCGTTTTCAAGTATAAAATTAAATTGCCCAATTGAATTTGGCAATAGCTGATGTGGCTTGGTTCCTTTCTGTTAAACGCGGTCCATTTCTCAGATGATGAAGAGACGAATTTCTTCACCGGGGTTTGTAAAAAAAGGATGATTATCAAGAAAACTTTTTTATGGCGTATTTGGCGATGTTAGGCGAGTAATTGAACGCCAATAAGTTGGAGTGGATCTCACAAACAACATTTTGAGAGAAAAAGAATGAACCGTTTCCACTATTGCGCACTATGATAAACAGTACTATAAGTTCCTTTTTTTTAACACTCGAAAAATACTTCAGATTTAATAAAGGATTCGGCAGTTTGTGTCTTCTAAATGCGAAGAAGACGACTATGTTGCGATGCGTCAATGACAATCTCACAGGACGCTTTGAGGTTAGCAACATCAAGTGATAATGGAAACTTTCAGTCTAAGATGCCTTCTTGCTTACGAATGATTTGCCATTGAATGTATATTGATTGCATTCGTGTACGACAATCTCCTTTCTCATAATCAAAAGCAAATCTTTACAGATTCTAACTCATTCACTGAATACTCATCGTTCTTTACGAGATTGCTACATGAGCACTTGACCTAGAGCCACTATATGTGTCCTTAAAATAGAGATTTAATGACTAGCAAAAAGCCAGCTCGCTTGACCTAGGTTTGCATTAACTGATGAGTAGCTAATTTTACTTTTTTCCTCTGTAAATGTTTTATGTCGTAACAACCGCTACCTCTTCGATACTTAGTGGGATGATCCTGCTAGGAGTGAATTCTTGATGATATCGAAACCACTTAATGTTGTCATACGTGTTGCCCACTGATTGGAATATTAAATTTCACCTTCTTTAAAATTAGACGCAGCGAATTCGTCCATGCGCAGGGCCAATCTCAAGAATTAACCGTGCCAACTGATAATTTTGTTATGATTATTTTATAAGTGACGGGCAGATGCACATTCAATAGGATAAAATCCGAGGCCAAACTCGAAATTTAATTAAGAAAGAGGGTAAGTCAGTCATTACCCAGAAAATGCCATTTTCGCAGAATTGGAGAAAAAATTTCTGACCCATCCGTAAAAACACTTACGTGCACAGGGATACTAATGGTATTTACGTTACCAAAAAAAAAAAAAAAAAAATCGCCGGTATAGCCAAACATCCTGCCATGCTAAGGAAAAATGGCATATGAAACTTCGGCTGTTGCCAAGTTTACTTTGATAAGGAACAGATTTTCAAGATGATTTGTGAAAATGTTTTCCAATTCATCAGAGAAATTCGCTTGCGACTTGATCAAACTCTTCTGAAGCTTTCAAAAAACTATAAAAATACATACCGGTCGTCTTTTGTATTGTGAGTTTTTTGAAAGCTTCACAAGAGTTTGATCAAATCGCGATCGAATTTCTCTGATGAATTCGAAAAAATGCTCACCAATCATCTTGAAAATCTGTTATCACGCGTATTCCCTCTCCGTAATCCCGTGCCCCATAAAATCTATAAATTCATCTGACCCATTTGCGCTTTTGGATCTTGAGCTTTTGAAAAATCAGTCAGTTGCGCTGGTCACAGAATTGTGTTTTGATGCTTGATTCTTGTAGATTAGCTAGAAAGATTAAGATCTGTAACAACCGCAACTTACTGCGTTCAATATTAATCGAGATATCGCCCTTTGAAAAGATGGGTTTTTGATGTCTCCCTGACTGATAAAACCAAGGTGGAAAAAACCAAGTTTGTCACTTCCGCGGTGGATGACGTCAAAAACCCGGTTTCAGAGGGCGATATCTCGGTTAATATTGAACGTAGAAAGTTGCGGTTTGGACAGATCATAATAATTCTGGCTAATCTACTGGAATCGAGCATTAAAACATAATTCTGTGATTCTTTCTCATTCCATTCCTTGGTTAGATTAGAACAGGAATAAAAAAAAAATAAAAAAAAAGAAACAATCAGTTGAATCAAGAATTGAGTCATGAAGAAACAAAATCAAAATATGATAACGCCACAGTTGATCGACACTTAAAGTTTAGTTTTTTCCTGCGGAACTCTTTACGATGGAAATAAGGTAATATCAAAGACATGGAGAAGACAAAGACGTGCGTATCTAACCTGTTTCTCCTAGTTTATTGACAATGGGCCTGTTGCATGCAAGAGATACAGCCGCGCGAATAGACTTTATAGAGGTTAAATGACACGAAAATTACGATGGTCACATTAAAAAAGTCTGAAATACACTCCTTACTGCGCAATTTGCGTTGTTAGGAACGCGCTTTTTCAAATTTCCCGCGTCTGGGGGCAGTTTTCTAATCACCGGAAACGAGCAAACGGCGGGCTCGGTGATTTCCAGAAGATGTCGAGTCGTTGTTGTTGTTGTTATTTTTTCCTTTAGTTTGTTTACAAACCCAACGTGATCTCTTATAGTGGTCCATATACGCTTTATGCAGTAACCAAATCGATCAACTTTTAAATGGACTACATTTTGCAATTTGGAACTATAAATTCTAGCCCGGTTTAAAAACAAAGTATGTGCCATTAGTTTACATATGCACAAAAGTGTTTTTCCAGAGGAGCCAGAATTTATAGTTCCAAATTGCAAAATGCAGTCCAAATATCCAACGCAATCCTTCTACATTTCATTTCACGATATCACGAGCTCCGATTTTTAGGTTATGTTGTCAGTTTTAGTTGACCGGAAATAGCCGCGAGTTGCCGTTTATTGTTTCCGTTAAGAAAACTGCCCCCAGACGCGGGAAATTTGAAAAAGCGCGTTCCTGACAACGCAAATTGCGCAGTAAGGAGTGTATTTCAGACTTTTTTAATGTGAGCATCGTAATTTTCGTGTCATTTAACCACTGGAAAGTCTATTCGCACGGCTGTACCTCTTGCATGCAACAGGCCCATTCTGTGACCAGCACAACTGACCCATCTGCGCTTTTGGGAACTGGCGCGTCTGAATGTCTTGGCGCGTGACGCTAGCTTTCGGCTCATCGCATTCTGGATGTTATTCAAAAAGTGAGTTGGGCTTTGCTTACCTGATATACTTCTTGTGCTCGTTGACAGGGACGAAGTACTCGTCGTAGGGGTCGCCGAGATCGACGGTGGAGGCCTCGGCCTTTTTGATGGGGATGCTGCTGTGGTAGGGCTTGAGGTTGACCAGCTCCAGGTTGACCGCCTCGGTGACGCTCTGGTCCTTGTGGGCGTCGCCGTTCTGGGCACCGTTCGTCTGGCTGTGGTCGTGGCCCGGGCTCAGCGCCGTCCCGTTCCCGTTGCTCGTCATCGTCGTCATCGAGGAGTTCTTCACCCCGTTCGTCTGCGCCTTCGGCCCCGGCGTCTCCTTCTCGAAGCTCGGGTTGTCGATGCCTTGCATCGTCGAGGAATCTGCACACAACGGAAATACGCATCGTCAATGTTTTACTTTGAAGACGGAGGAGAAGAAGAAGAGGAAGAAGGAGAAGGAGAAGGAGAAGAAAGAGAGGAAGAAGGAGAAGGAGAAGGAGAAGAAAGAGAAGAAGAAGGAGGAGGAGAAGAAAGAGAAGAAGAAGGAGGAGGAGAAGGAGAAGAAGGAGGAGCAAGAGGACGAGCACAAGGAGGAGAAGAAGAAGAAGAAGAAGAAGGAGAAGGAGAAGAAGAAGGAGGAGAAAAAGAAGAAGGAGAAGAAGAAGAAGGAGGAGAAGGAGAAGAAGGAGAAGAAGTAGAAAGAGGAGGAGGAGGAGAAGGAGAGGGAGAAGGAGAAGGAGAAGAAGGAGAAGAAGAGGGAGAAGGGGGAAGAGGAGGAAAGAAGAAGGACGAGGAGGAGGAGGAGAAGAAGAGGAAGAAAGAGAAGAAGAAGGAGGAGGAGGAGGAGGAGGAGGAGGAGGAGAGGGAGGAGGAGGAGAAGAAGGAGGAGAAGAAGAAGGAGAAGAAGAAGGAGAAGAAGGAGAAGAAGAAAGAGGAGAAGAAGAAAAAGGCGGAGGAGAAAGAAGGATAATACAAGGGAAATACGAATCGTCAATGTGGAGCTACAATACTGAAGTGCTAAGGAGGAACTCCTCACAGTGAATCGAGTCAATGGGAAAGGTTGGACAAATTTTGGAAACTTTAAACGCTTTTAACTCCGTTTATCGAAAATTTTGAGGTTCTAAAAGTGGTTCCATTGGGTTTCTAGTGAAATTTTCTTTTCAAAGCACCCCTTAAAGTTTAAATTGAGACAAAATAAATATCAAAATTTGTAATTTTAGTTAAATATTTCGTGTCCGACCTCTCTACTTGACTCGATCCATTGTGAGCCGTATGAGCAATCAGGCGTTGCCAAATTTCTTTCAATAAAATACGAATTTACTGGAAAAATTGTGAATATTTTCCTTCAAATTTCTTAGACAACATTGAAGAATATCTGAGAATTTCGAGAAAAAATATGTATAACGTTCCCCAAAAATACATCTTTCATCCGAGGAAACTCTCGAATGTTCATACGGCATTCTTCCGTAGCACGGCAGAATACTTTGGAGACTTTAACGCACGGTTGGGAAAGTGAGCGTATTTTACAGTCACGGGTCATTCCATTGTAACGGGTGTGACAACAATTTAACTTTAAACAAGAATTTGAACTCTTTCTTGGGGTTTAATTAAAAAATTATCTGCAGTAGCAGAAAGAACTTTTTTTATAGATCATTTTAGTGTATCAGAAATTGTTTTTACTTTGTTCCATTCCTCAGGAAAAAATTAAAAGGCTGCGTAACGGGCGTGACCGATTTTGGAAGTGAGTTTTTCCTCAGTGAGTGTAAAGTGGAAACTCAGCGAATTTTATGAATTTAAAAATCTGATTAAATTATATGATGAAACCAAGGGTTTTTGCTTCATCTGCCGATGATCCGTTTTCGATTATCTTTTTTTCTTTCCTTGAAAAATGGGAGAGTTTGCGTAACGGGTGTGACGTAACGGGTGTGACAGATTGTCTCTCTGAGGTCCATCATTTCTGAGAGAGTTTAAAAGTTAAAAAACTTACTTTTCTTCTCATACTCTTATTGTAGGCAATCCTAAGCAGTAAATAAATCAGCAATTTGACGCATTTTAATTTAGAACATGCCAAAACTACATTTTTCTACAAGGTGGACCAGACCTACCGTTTGCGTTACGGGTGTGACGTAACAGGTGTGACAGATTGTCTCTCTGAGGTCCATCATTTCTGAGAGAAATTAAAAGTTAAAAAACTTACTTTTCTTTCATACTCTTATTGTAGGCAATCCTAAGCAGTAAATCAATCAGCAATTTGACGCATTTTAATGTAGAACATGCCAAAACTACATTTTTCTACAGGGTGGCCCAGACCTACCGTCCCAGGGCTTTTCTTCGGGTAGCCCAGGATTCCCCTTTCGTCCCCGCGGTCCTGGACCTCGCATGATCCAAATTAACCAAAAAAAAATCCTGGTACGGTAGGTCTAGGCCTGTAGTAAAGTGAAAATATTTCAATCCAATCGGAGAGAGTTCAACGAGTTCTATTTCAAGTCCTTTTGAGATAGGTGTATTCACTTTAAATACTGAAAAATGGCAAAAAAGTTGGCTATCTCTCTCTTATTAGATGTATACATACCTCTAATTGTGCATATGAGTGAATTTCTTGTGATAACCATAGAAAAAATGGTGAGAAGTGAGGCAACATCTGCATAATTGAAGCCTCTTCTCATTGGTCACACCCGTAACGTGTCACACCCGTTACGCAGTTTTGCCTATCAATTGTTGAAATAAAAATTTGGAAAAAATACTCCAAAGTTGTACTTGACTTGGAGACGTACGGAAAAAATTAGCATTTCAAAATAACATGAATTAAAATAGTTGCATTAAAAAACCCATGTTTTGCGTAACGGGTGTGACAGTCAGTACACTAAGTTTTAAAAGTTACATATAATACACGGTAATTACTTTTAAAAATTGAAACTTTGCAGGAGCACATTGAATCAGTTTCTTGACAACTGCAAACATAAACTGAAACTTGGTTTTGGCGGGAACACCAGAAAATATTGCTACCAAACTGTCACTTTTTTTACAGTAGGATGAAGCTAACCAATGGGGTTACAAAATACGTGAAAATTGCGAGAAAAAAAACAAAACGGATGTAAACCCCATATATTTCCAAAAACTAGGAGTATTAAGGAGTCCAAAAATAAATATTGTTGGGTCATTTGGAGGGGGGGAAAAAAATACCCACCGGACTACTTAGGCGTGGAATGACCCTCACCTATTTAACGAGCTTTAGGGGGCTGTCCCTAAATTACGTAACGCTCTATAAGGGGAAGGGGGTTGAGGAGAGCGTTACGCTTACGGCATTCGGTTTTTACGTGTTAAAGGATGGAGACATACGTCAAAAAAGCGTTACAGGGGGTGGAGGGGGGGATGTCAAAAATGCTGAAGAAGTGCGTTACATTATTTAAGGACGGCGGCCGGCCCCCAGGACATGATCATACGCATTATAACACTACATTACAGGTTTGATCTTCAGAGTTTCACGAGGGGAAATTCTACTTTAGAAGAGCTCTGTGCTACTAGTTTGAAGCACCATTACGAATAAGACAAACGGAAACAAACACAATATGGAAATAGAGGGAGGGAAAGGATGCGCGTTTACGACGGCGCAGAGATACAACTATTCGTACTTGATGGACGTCCGTTCTGCATCTGAGAAATTGAAGGCGCGATGACGCGTAGCGTGAGGTCTCAATGCTCTGCTAAATGCTATCAATGAGGTGTCGCTCAGATTCGGGAGAAAAGTTAAATAAGAGGCCCGAACACATCTCTCCTATGCCTTCGGCTGTGTTACTCACGTAGTGCTTGCAACACCATTACGAATAAGACAAACGGAAACAAACTCAAAATGGAAATAGAAGGAGGAAAAGGATGCGCGTTTAAGACGGCGCAGAGATACAACTATTCATACTTGATGGACGTCCGTGCTGCATCTGAGAAATTGAAGGCGCGATGACGCGTAGCGTGAGCTCTCAATGCTCTGCTATATGCTGTCAATGAGGTGTTGCTCAGATTCAGGAGAAAAGTTAACAAAGAGGCCCGAATACGTCTTTCCTGTCTTCGGCTGTGTTGATACTCGTTCATCCTTCCTCTTTCAGGATTTTGTCTGATTCTTTTTCAGGGTAGATTTGCAGACCTACGTCTTGAGTTCGTGTAAACCGCAGCACTGGCTCGGTTCTTTTGGAGATAATTGTGTTTGGAAGCGTCTAGTGCCTTTAATTTTGTATGTTTTCTTTAATTTCAGAAGTCTATCGGTTACTTTAATACTTTCAAATTTGAAATTTTTACTCTGTACGATTAAACCTGAAAATAGCTAAAACTTGTACTGCTTTGACAAAATTTTCTGAACCCCTCTCCTCCTAGAGGATGCCCTATTAGGAAATATCACATTACGCTTCCTTAACCAGCCAAGGGTCCACGCCCTCAGATACGAGCCCGTCCTGGCCTGGTCATAGGTTAGTTCGGTAATATTAAGGCAAATGAATCTCGTGTTAAAATTGACAGCCTCCAGATCGTTGGTCTTGAGGGAGTGGCTCATGTATCGGAATGTTCGAATTCTATTGTGTCAAGCACGATACTATTAATAATCAAGAAGCTGGTGTGATTGAAGGAGTTTTGAGAGCACCCGCGGAGACACAAGTCAGAAGTCGGCTCCAGAGGGAGCAATGCGTATACAAACGGAGGAAGGTGTGGACAACAAGGATCTATAAGTCAGGCGAACTGAACTGGAGGCAATAATTAGAAACATGGTTTCAGTTGTCAAGCCTTGTTGAAAACTTTCGAGACTTCCATAACAGTGAATCTTGGGAATCGTCTTAAGTTAGCTCCGCACAATACGACAACAGCCGAATGCATTCGCGTGGTGAAAGATCTGGGGGTTTATGGTCAAGGTCTACAATCGGATAATATGACCTACTAATGCCGTTCGATAGCGTGGATACGAGATCGTGGTTTCTCCTTGAATTTAAAACTGTGCTACCCTCCGTAAAGAATAGTCGTTCCTTCACTAGCAGCAGACTTCCAGTTCCCTATAATAGCACGCCGATGAAGGTTAAAAAAAAATAAAAATTGGTTTCATGAAATAATAATGAAAATACGCAATTTTTCAAGAAATGATAATTTTTTTAGTGGGTATTTCTAGTTCTGAAGAACCCTCATTAAAATTTAAAAAAAAATGTTTGGTTTAGAGGAAATAAAGCCATTTTAGAAACGTTGAAGAAACTTTGTTCTTTTAAATCAGTTTTAAAATGTAAAAAATACTTAATAATTATCTAAAGAGGCTCATCAAAAGCTTCATTGTCTGCCAAAAGCGTTGACGAACATTCGAAGTTCGTAAAATTATGTTATCTCCGAGTTCGCCGGTCATTTACGAAAACCTCGTGAATCGAAAGTGTATATTGTACTCTTGATTGCTGGTGCGATCTGTCACGGAAGTATGATTCGTGACTAACATATGTTAGTCACGTCTATGTTAGTCACGTCTCATATGAGAAGCAGAATGGACTGGACACGAGGGGGCTACTTACGGTTACGGACGTCCCGCCTTCAACTTTTGAGGTAGGCCACAAAACACCCTCTGTCCTGCAGAGAATTTGAGATTATTGGGATTATTTTTGGGGAAATTTAGTAGATTGAGCTTCACGATTTTTGTAGTTTACTGCTATGTTTTATGTGAGGATTTATGCTCTTTCTTGTCAACAAAATCTTGCCTCCGATGTTGATGATACCGATGTTTTCCCACTCAAATACTTTAAATTGACACAGAATATTCAATCATAAAAGTAATATTTTCTCCGAAGAAACAGTGCTTCCTTAACGTAAAAGTAATGATCCAGCGATGGATGCATCGTTTACCGCTAATAACCGTGTCATAATCTTTGCCGAACAGGACAGTTAACGGAGGATTGCAGGGAAACAAGCGCCCAAAAAAAAGAAACATTTATTCGATCGAGTTTCAACAATTTTCCTGCTATGAAGCTAACAATAAGTAAGATATCTTCATCACCCATCACAATGATACTTTTTTTTATAAGTCGTGTGCGCAGCACTGCACGCCACATTGGAGCATTCACGTTCACAATGCGCCACTAAAACGTTCGGAAAACGCATAATCTGTCAACAGGGGTTACTTACAGTGTGGATGTCCGGTCAACCGTGCATAGTGATTGACGGAGCGTGCGTGCGGCGAGGCGCTTAGCCACGGCTTTTTTAAGCGAACACGTAAGACGCAAGAAGCTAGGATGCGCATGCATAAGAAACGTACAACGTGCTACTGAGATAGCGGCACGGACGCCCGCGCCGGCCGGCCGCGCGCTACGTCATGCTGGCGCCCGATTTCCGATTCTTGGCCATTGCCCATCATCATCATCCTCCTCCAGGAGCCATGCTTTTTTGCGACATTGACGCCAAATTCACCTCAAAGTGGAGGAACGGAAGGTAGTCACAGGCGGAAGGATGCACCAGGATTGCCACAGGATTTAGAAGATGAAATTCCCTGACAAATCTCTGATTTTCCTGACACATTTTGCTGAAGTTCCCTGGCAATTGAAGATATGCCAGAGGGTAAAAAAGACTTGATTAGAAATAGTTTTCAGCTTTGTTGTTCGAACACTGGAAAAAAAAGCCGCTTGGATCTAGAGTCCAGACACGAACATGACTCTTAAAAACATTGACAACAAAAAATACTCTTGATTCAATCGGACTTTTTGCTTGAATCAAATGGAAATCCGCCTAAATCAAGAGGCTCGGCTCTTCGATTCAAGGAAAAATCGAATTGAATCAAGAGTATTTATTCTTTCTAATGTTATTAAGAGTCTGGACTCTAGATCTAAGAGAATTTTTTTTCCAGTGTCACGTCAAACCTTTCCTGAAGAGCATATGAAGGTGACTTAAGGATTTTTCCCTGACGTTTTCGTCATTTTCCATGACATTTCCAGGTTTACCCTGACTTTTACAAAATTCCTGACGTTTCCCGGTTTTCCCGGTAATCTCTGACGGTGGCAACCCTGTGTATATTTCTACGTCACAGCGAGCAAATGCAGAAAAATGCAAATGCAATAAAAAATCGTGGCACAGTTGGGAGTTGGGTCCTGTTGATGTAGAACAGTGGCCTAGCTCCCGTATGCAGATCCAAGGAGGGTGTAGAGAGATACCGTTTATCCCTAGCAACGTGCACGTAACGGGGGTTTAGACCCCCCACCCCTTAGAACGTTACGTATTTTATGAGGGGCCCCCAAGACATATTTCCTGATTAAAATTTCACGCAGAACTTAAAGTATACATAATGCAGCTTAATGTGTAATTAATGTATGCGCTTACCCATAGACCTTGTGGACTCGTTACTCAGGGATGTCATCATGGTAGAATTGTCTGCCGGGCTTCTTATGGGAGTCGAAGAGGCGACATTGAGGGTGACGACCTGGCCATTGCTGGACGCCACCGTCGGGCTCCCAACGGAATTAGGTTCTTTGATGTCTCCGTTCATTGCACATTAAGGGAATCCAGCGATTGTAGCATCAGCCGCACACACACAGTCACGATATCGCTGCACTTATCAGTAACACTCTTTTATTTAATTATACCGCTCCGGAAACTGCGAGGTTTAGTCGCTCTCTAGCATAGTTTAATTATTTTATTCCGGACTAATTACCACTGCACTTTCATTCAAACTATGTATTTTTTAAGAAATATATGGATGGGATCCAGTCAATGATTTGCACTTCATTCGTTTGAAAGTTACATCAAAACTATCTAATTATTTGCTAAGCGAAAGCTTAAAAATGCGAGTGTTAAATTTGTCCTGTGTGCCAGCAGTAGCTCCTCGTTTACAGTTGAAGTCGTGTCTGAAACATACAAGCATCGGGGAACAAAAATTATTATGCTGTTGGTATTTTTCTTGAATTTCTACAATTTTTGCAATTTTTGCACTCATTTTGTATGAGGAAACATCGATGATGAAATTACCGAGTAAACCATTCCTGTCGTATGAATGGGAAGTGAGGTGTTCTACATTGGACGTTCTAGTCGGTTCATGTAACCGTACTTCTGATTTTCGGAAACGTGCTCTTGGTCCATACAACCGCAAGCTTCCAAATTTTCAAAACCTGATACCCACGGGTGATTCCAGTATTTTGAGGGCTTTTCCGGAAGCGGAAAATGCCTGAATATTCTTCGTTTTTCAGAAACCAACTCCATTTCAAGGTCGAAAAATTGACTCGAACAATTCAATTTCTTACAAGAATGTACAGACAGATGCTATTACGGTCCAAAATTTGTCTAATTTTTACATGAGAAAAAATCAGCGAAACTTTTGGTGAGAAATGCCCAAAATTCTCCTGGTAAAAATGCAATTCAAAAGGGGAAATTCGGCAACACTGAAACGTAGTTACGTTGTTTTGTGTCGAAAACGACGAATTGGCCTACAATAAAATAGTTTGCAATCAGGATCTACAGTTTCTGACTTACCCGTAAAAACACTTGTGTGCACAGGGTAACTATTGGTGCATACTTTGTTTCTAATCTGAGCCACAACCTGCAGTTTCCAACTGCAAAATGTAGTCCAATTAGTAAGAGGTAGAGGAGAGGAGAGGGGCTATTAAGGATCGACCGGTCTAAAAAAATTCTTGCATCGCGGCATTTTTGCCTCGAATTCGTCTGTTTTTGGATTGTGTCGATACGTTCGAGTGAAGAATGATGAGGCCAGGAAAATGTAATCTGCTTACTACAGACAGTGTCTCGTTACGGTCGCATCCAGGTTGCCTAACTTGAGGAGGAAATGGAAATTTTTGCGACTATCCAATTAAAGTCGGGAGCGTTTCCCAGCGAGATGGCAACGGAAGATAGCTGTTTTTCATTCATGGGAAGAAAGATTCCCGTGAATTGATTGCGGAACAATCGCGCCCCACGCCGCGCCGCATCGCGTCGCCGTGCGCTAAGTGTGAACGCATCCTAAATCACACGTTGCCTGGCCGTAGCTGAACATTCGTTCCCTGCGGAACATGCGGTATTTTTAACTCGCGGCATGGGTCTGAAAAGGTGTGAATCTGTAAACACTCCGGAACAGTTATTCTTTAATTAGGTAGTTATGATTTTCCGGTGTTGCAATGCCCGCGCCAGTGCTAGGTGCCAAGCTGCTCACGATTTTTGAACCTAATTTTGTCGTCCCTGTGACGTCGGGGTGCAACTCCATTTCCGTAAGAGCTCCTGCGGGCTGATTGTTGAAATTTACAGACAAAGCGATAGACAAAGAAGACATAAGGAGTATGGAGCGATCCTATTGGTTAATTTGAGTGGTTGCAATAGACAAATGAGGCAGGTAATAGACTAACTATAACGGCAACTCACGAGGGACCCTTCACTTAGTCCATCATTTTCTCTCTTAGTCTGTAAGAACCACCCAAATTAACTAATAGGATCGCTTTATACTCAGTATATCTTCATTTGTCTGTAGCTTTGTCTATCAATTTCAACAATCAGCCTGCTGCGGGCTGAATGATAGACAAAGCGATAGATAAAGAGGACATAAGGAGTATATAGAGCAATCCTATTGGTTGAAACGAGTGGTTCTCATAGTCTAAGGAAACCAGCGGGCTGATTATTGAAATTGATAGACAACGCAATAGACAAAGAAGACAAAAAGGATTTGGAGGGATTCTATTGGTAGAAGCGGGTGGTTGCAATGGACAAAGGAGGTAGGTAATAGACTAACTAACGGCAACCCACGAGAGATCCGACGGTTAGTCTATCATTTTCCCCCTTAGTCTATGAGAACCACCTATTTCAACCAATAGGATTGCTTTATACCCCCTATGTCTTCTTTGTCTATAGCTTTGTATATCAATTTCAATAATCGGCCCGCAGGATGGACTAACTAAAGTGTGTCTCAAGGGTTGCCGTTAATTAGTCTACTGCCTACCTCCTTTGTCCATTGTAACCACCCGCTTCCACCGATAGGATCCCTCTATATCCTGAATACCCTATCGCTTTGCCTACCAATGTCAAGAATCAGCCCGCAGAGAGCATGGATTGATATGTAAAGCAGGGCTCACTCGCTCAGGTGGAAATCGAGATACGCCCTTCCGACAAAGAGGTGACGGTTCATGGAAGTATTTATGCTACATTGAACTATGTTGCATGCAAATCCTATGGACATAGTTCCTTTTAGCATAAATATGCCCATAACATGTACGAAGAACAATTTTTCCTCACTGCCAAAGTTTAAACGGTTGGACTCGGTCCTGAGTAAAACCCAGACTTGGACGTATTTCTGCCAAACGGAACTATGTGCATTAAGACATGAGCCCTGAGACCCACAAGAATATATGCTTAACAGGGCTCACGCCGTAATGCACATAGTTCCGTCTGGCAGAAATACGTCCAATTAGTCAATTCAAGTAATTTTGAGTAGTCAGGTTTGGGGTTTCGGACCATTCTGCAGCTCCTGCTGCGTGACTGTCGAAATGAAGGAGCATTTAATCGCTGAGCGTGTTTCAGTGTACAAAATAATATTAAGAAAAGCGTGAGCGAGCGCTCTAGCGTTTGCGTGATTTGAAAAATTGCGTGAAAAATTTCCGAGATTTTAAAAAGTTTCTAACAGTTACTGCTACTTTTTGCAAATATGAGGGGTGCAATCGCATTTAAGTTTCATACCTCTTGGGACTTACTGCTACTGGTTTAACGTACGTCCTATGCATCTCGGCACGAGTGCGTTTTAAAAACTGCTTTGATGAGACAAGTAAACGTTTGCTTTGACAAGTGCCTGTCCGCGTTAATTAACGCGGTTTCTGGCGATGGATTGTACAAATGTTTGCCTAACGTTTGTTGTGGCACGTGACCAGGTCACGAGACTTAAGCTATTTCATTTTTCTAAAGACCCGCCGATTCCTCCGTACATAGCGGTAAAAGTCGCACTGTGTGGCGGATTGCACTCAGCAGCGGGTAATCAACGAGATTTTCTAACAACGAAATTCAAAAATAAATGACATCTAAAAAGTAGAGGCGATACAACAATTTGCGCGAGATAGATTTCCACATTGAATATGAAAAATGCAAGATGCGATGGCGTGAGTCGTGAACTCGCAATGCTCTGCTCTAGGTAATTAGTTTGAAGCATCATTACGAATAAGACAAATGCAAACACACACAATATGGAAATAAAGCTAGGGAAAGGATGCCCGTTACCGACGGCGCAGAGATACAACTATTCGTACTTAATGGACGTCCGTGCTGCATCTGAAAAATTGAAGGCGCGATGACGCGTAGCGTGAGCTCTCAATGCTTTGCTGTATGCTACCAATGAGCTGTCGCTCAGATTCGGGAGAAAAGTTACATAAGAGGCCCGAACACATCTCTCCTATACCTTCGGCTGTGTTAAGTACTCACGTAGTGCTTGAAGCATCATTACGAATAAGACAAACGCAAACACACAACATGGAAATAAAACGAGGGAAAGGATGCGCGTTAACGACGGCGCAGAGATACAACTATTCGTACTTGATGGACGGCCGTGCTGCATCTGAAAAATTGAAGGCGCGATGACGCGTAGCGTGAGCTCTCAATGCTTTGCTATATGCTACCAATGAGCTGTCGCTCAGATTCGGGAGAAAAGTTAAATAAGAGGCCCGAACACATCTCTCCTATACCTTCGGCTGTGTTACTCACGTAGTGCTTGAAGCACAATAATTACGAATAAGACAAAAGGAAACAAACACAACATGGAGATAGGGAAGAGGAAAAGGAAGCGCGTTTACGACGGTGCAGAGATACAACTATTCATACTTGATACGTCCACCGTGGTAGGAGAGGTGTGTTCGGGCCTCTTTTTCAACTTTTCTCCCGAATCTGAGCGACACACCATTGACGGCATATATCGATGGTGTAAGTCGACAATCACATAACTCGTTTGCGGTGTCTAAAAATCCCCGCCTCTATGTTAATTTTTGAAAGCAGAACAAATTGGCATCATTCCTTGAAGTTTACGCAGAATTATCTTCGCACAGAGAAGAAAAATCACGGCAGTTTTAAAGAATCACTGTTGAGTAGTTTTCCGTTTAAAAAATAAAGTATGACAGGAAGTCTGCGACGTCGCAAACCGAGTTATGTGATTGCCGACTTACACCGTCGATATGTAGCAGAGCATCGAGAGATCACGCTTCGCATCATCGCGCCTTCAATTTTTCAAATGCAGCACGGACGTCCATCAAGTACGAATAGTTGTATCTCTGCGCCGTCATTAACGCGCATCCTTTCCCTCGCTTTATTTCCAGCATGGGCTGCATCTGAAAAATTGAAGGCGCGATGACGCGAAGCGTGAGCTCGATTTTCGACTGACTTCTTTTGAATGCATATGTACAGGCTGCTACTGTTAATTTTACGAATAGAGGATGTTACACTAAATGGCAGAGCGTTCATTTCAACATTTGAGAGTTGTTGCGCAGATTCCGGACGTTTTGTTCTGAGGTTCTCCTAGAAGGTACGGTTTCTCGTTCCAATTCAGGATATTAGTAAATTAATTTATAGATGCGTTTAAGAGCGTTCATACCGTTCCTCGAGGAATCAGGTGGTTCAAGAATCACACCTATTTCTGCGAAACATGTTATACGAGTGATTTGGTGGTCAACCGCAGTGTGAGCTTGCTTGACTGTCGGATGGATGAGAAGCCTTCTCTCAAGTCACTGAGAGGATATCGGCAAGTTATTCAGTAATTGGCGGGAGATTATGTTCATCGGAGGGAAACCGATAGCGGAGCGGCAATTTTCCAATTTGAGTCGGAAGGAATCTATCTGACCGATAAAAAGATCAATCATCGATCATTGATCAAAGGAGTTTATCGGATGCTCCGGAA